TGGAGAGGGGGGGTGTGGAGAGGGGGTTGTGGGGGAGGGTTGGGATGGCGAGAGAGTTGGGGTGTTTGCTTTGGTTTGGGATTGCGTGGGATGGGGGGAAGATTGATAGGGTTGTTGAGGAGGGGAGGGATTTGGAGGAGGTTAGGAAGTTGGATGCTTTTTTGTTTGGGTGTGGTGGGGAAGTGGAATTAGACAATGGGGAGGTGGATGGAGGTGAGATTGAAGTGATAGGACGACTTTAGGATATTAGGACAGGGCAATCTAGGGATACTGGTATGGTAGTTGAGGCTAGATTGTAAAGAGGTATGAATGGACGTAATATTACACTAATGTTGTAGTTGGAGATAGGAAGCTTGGCATATTCTGAATCTATAAACGGAGAGATTGTATGTCTTAGCTACTGTAGTAAACATATGAACGAGACGGGATACAGAGAGTAGCGTAAGAGAAGGGAAAACAATTATACACAACCCTACTCAAGATGACAAGACGTTATTCTCAAGGCCCTGTACGAGACTCGTCCATTATTCTAGGTATATCTTAAGAACCTATTATACTGGAATCCCAAATTTACTTGAGTTTATTGTTCTAAAACACTTAGGCGAATAAAGATATATTAGTTTAAATTATTCCAAATCGCCAGAATAATTGGTTTAGTTATACGAGGTTCTTAGGTTGATATCATTCTAACATAGGTGTGTTTAGAATAGCAACATCCTCGCTTACAAACTAATCAGTTATACAAATATGTTCTACTTAGAATAACACACACTTGTATCTTTTTCTTAATTAATAACTCAGATACGCTTAGACAATTGAATTACTTGTGGCAGACTTATGGAATAACAACTTTTGATAAGGTGCACAGAGTAATGAACAGGTCTCACAAAATCCACCAATCCAATGACAGAAACACCCACTTTTCAGCTGTACTCGTAATAGCTTTTATTTTCAAGTTCCCCAAATCACTGATCACTGAATCCCAGATTCGAAAGTAATAGCAACACAGGACCCTCAAAGCCTTTCCCACGCACCTCAAATCCACCTTCACCTCTCCTACCACAACATCACGCCTCAAAGACCATCCCCCTCCCCCTCTAAAAGCCCCTACCCCCAAACTCCCCATCAAAAATCCCTTCAACATCTCAGAGTCCCCATCCTAAACCCCATCCAACCTTCCAACCTGAAAATACTCCCCATCAATAACAGCCGTCTGCACAACCCTCCCACCCCCCTCCCCATCAACAGTAACCCAGCGATCCCCACTCCCAGCACCAACCTTCACCCCGTTCCTCATCGCACTAGCACCCCTCCACTCCAGCACCCCAAAATCCCCAAACTCCTGTCCGGTTGAAACACCCTCCTGTAGTATCCAATACGCCGTCTCTCCCTTTCCCATCGCTCCATCCCTGACCTTATTCTTCGGCGCCACACAAGGCCGTTTCTTACACTCAAAACCAGTCCTGGTAAGATTTCTCGAGTAAGAGGAGCCGGTGGAGAGATTCTCGAAGGAGAGAGTGTGCGCGTTGATACGGAGGTAGATGGTGTCAGTCATGGAGAAGGAGAATTGCGTCGGGGCAAGTTGTTCTTGGACGGAGGTGGAGGAGAGGGTGTACCATGCGTAGTGGGAAGTCGTCACGCTGTCACCTTTCTTCTGGGACATGATGGAGATTGCGGCTTGGACTTGGGGGGTTGTGTCTGTTTATGTCAGTAAATTTGTCTATGGATTCAAAACCTGGAGGCGAGAACAGAAAGACGTGATGACTTGGAGATACCATGACTTTTACATCAAGGAGATTATATATAGGGCGCGAACTCACCATTATCCCCCAAACCAAGAAAGATCGAAACGACATTATACCCACTCGGCGCACTCTCAGAGAACGTCAACGCAGCAGGAACCTGGAAGGTACCCTCCACACTGGTAAATCCCTGACCAGCAGGCTGCTTAACGACCATACCAGCCCATTGCCTATTGACAACCTCAGTTGGTGGATCCCGGGATGTGATGGCAGTAGGGACACCTTTTGGTGACGTGAAGGAAAGAGCGAGTCTAGCGCAGATACCGAGGATTGAAAGGAACCTCATCATTGTTGTGGTTTGATGGATGATTTGAGTCGGGGAAAATGGGGTGCTAGGCTTTGGATGTGACGATCCAAAGGAAGCTAGAGGACGATGTAATTTCTCCTCCACGAGTTGTAATTGTGTGTCTAAATTAAACACTTGAGGGTTGACATTCACCTTTGAGGTGAAAATTGTCAAGTCCATTCACAGTACTTGCGTTTCTCGCCTGACAGACCTTCAATTCACTCTTCACTAACGCAAGTACAAGCTGATATCTGACAATTTGACAAGCGGGTTTCTTTCCACTATATTGGGTAGCAATAACTCATTTCGTTGCCACAAAAACTCTATCTATATGTATCTATCTATAAGTAACATTGCCTACCCACATCACAACGAGGATCACCCCAAGTCTAACTTGTAATCCACTGATCCTCAGACTCCTCCCATGGAAATTCCACTTGAACCCTTTCATTCCGCCATTTGCATCCCCTTCTTTGAAATGCAACCTATCATCAGGTAATCCTCCTTCCAGCCGCTGTCTCCCTCTCGTCTCAAACCGGTTCCATCTCACCAGGGTGTCTTCTCCCCCAGAAGAGCCATCAACAACCCAATTAACTAGTCTCTCCGTTACCCCCGCCATTCCCCAACTCACCCAAAGAAATATTGGTGTCAGGATCGCAGCCTCAACATGACGATTCCAAAGGCCCAATCTCAACAGCCCCGTAGTATCTCCGGCAAGCCATATATGAAATTGAAGCACAAAAGTCTCCAATGAACATCGTCCCAAGCATGCAAACAGACCAATATAGTATCCTCTTAAAGTCCGATGGCAATTTCGTAGAACAAGGTAGGAGAGGATGGGGATGAAAGAAAGGTATGGGTTCCACCAGTTATAATCCTGTTTCTTGGTGTGGTAGCTGCTTATTTTCCAGAACCCCGGGATGGCGAGGAGAGAGAGTATAATCGTAACGGAAGATAGTGTGAGCGGATGGTTAATTGTCCATTGTATGACGGAGTCAATCATCGACGCCCGCTGAAGATTTCCACTTCTCAATTTTCGACTTCGTTGGAAAATTATCGCCGTAATCATACCGACGTAAACAATAAACATGTCAAGAAAGACACGGAATCTCCATTCTGCAACATCCCATGAAATATTACACGTGGTTTTCAGTGCGGTAGAGACGAATTCCTGAATTCCCGGGGACATTGTGAATGCAGTCGTAAAAATTGCTGAAATGCAAATTTTGAAGAATAGGAAGTATAAATTGTTGTTGGATTTGTGGCCAATTCGAAGAGTGGCGTAAATGACCATGAACCAGAAGCTGACGAGTGGAGCAAAGTAGTAGTGAAGATAGTCGGTACGCATAAGGTACGGTAGCATGCAACTCAGAAGATTCAGGCGGAGAAGAACATTCGCAATACGCTTTAGCGAGTAATCCTCCTTTCCGAGGAAGTAAAGTGTATGCCCAAAGCCTGTCAAGAAAAGGTATGCGGCAACCATAACACGTGAAATCTCATAAATCCACAGAATTTTGGAGCCGTGTGTGTAGTGATATATAAGGATGTAGAACTGCATCCATCCTTTCCATTCATCTGTTTGCTCTCTGGAAAGAAAGCCCATACTGGGGTTTGGCTCTCTCAGGGAAACAGGAATTTTCTGAATTGAAAGAAGTCCAGCAACAACCACCAAACCGCATGCTGCCAAGAATTCCCTCTCGTGGAATTGCTTGTGTGCTTTCTCGAAAATATGGGTTCGATCTGCGTAAAAACAATAGCACAAGATGAGAGCGAATATTGATAACGCGCTTAATATGTCCGTGGCATGTTGCATGCGATGTATTCTGGAGGTACGGGTACGTCGTAGAAGGAGTAGCACGGGCAATATTACCATGCCCATCAGAATTGTCAACCTGCATCAAAAACTCACATCAGCATTGCTGTTAAGCTTGAGTCGAAAAGAAATCAGATATGCTTGGCTATGTGGTCTGGTAACATACCATTGCGATGCGCCAGGTTCCACATAGTTGCTGCAACATGTTGCGTCAAAAGGGTAGCTCCTTCGTCCACGATCAGCATTGCACCTAGAATTTAGAAGAACATCTGCTTTTCGAAGGGCGACATTGTTCACGACATGAAGACCACTCTCTTCATAAGCCGCAGGAGCATTCCATGTCATCAAGGAGTAGCTCCAGATGACATCGGCCTTGGAATGTGCAGAGCTCTGCTGCAAATAGTCATTCATTTGATCAATCTTTTCTGGTATAATCGTTTCTTCTCTGGAGGGGGATAAATCCTGGTACCGTGGCACTTGGACCGGAGCGAGAAATAGCAAGTTCGCAGACTGTTCTGGGGATGGCAATGGGCTCCTCGGTAAGGGAAGTGTCTCCTCTGAACGACGATCCATATAAGGAATCACGGCATCAACCGCGTCTCTAAAGTCTTTGAAGAAATTCTCCTGGCCATGTCGCGCATACCATAGACCCGGGGCGCCTAGCAGAATGACACTAGCACTTGCGTCTCCTGCATCGGCGTCCCTCGAAGTGTAGGCCTTGAAATTCTTCAGTTCTTGCATCAGGCCTGTTGAATTCAACCAAGGATCCCAAGTAAATTTCACCGTCACTCTACCGTGGGTGAACTGGATATCTCGGTGCTTATTCTTATCCTGTATCAGCTCTTCCATCTCCCTCGTGGCCCTCCCCCCGTCCAACTTTTGTGCCACCGCCCAGAAGACCTGCCTTGTCGTCGAATCCCCAACGAACACTATGTTGCGATCCCGAAAACAATCCTGTATGTCTTGATTCTGGTATTCGTGCATGATACATCCGGGCGGCTGCCAATTTTCGAAAAAGCCCCGGGCCTTCCATTTGGGCCCAGTATCGAGCCATTGGCCTTTGTTGAGGAGTGCGCTGCATTTGAAGGGATCGGAAACATCTGATGAGGGTGAAGTGTTAGCTTTGGCCGCATAGTGAACACTGGATAGTAGGATCTGGTAGGGTCGGAGGAACTTGCCAATCCAACAGTATCTGTAAACCACTCCCACAATTACCGTCAGCAACAAGAATTGAAGTATGCGATGGCCCCCATCGGCCAATCGCGAAGTTGCCAACATTCTCACGAGTAATGCGGAGCTAGCGGTAGGTTCATCCCACCACTTGAACTACTAGTACTGTACTGGCAAACGGTCTTCATCCAAGGTTTCAGGGCAAAGCAACCGTGCTTTTGCTTTGGCTTTGGGGTTGTGTCTTTCCTTTCCAGTTTTCTGCGTGTTGGGGAAGTCGCATTTGGGGTGAGAGGCTTCTGCAGAAGAAGGAAGAAAAAAGCCGGGGGGATGATCAGAGGAAAGAAAAGGAGAAGCAGCAAGAATCCAGAGAGTGGTGGTGTACGGAGTACTTGGGTAGGTCGGTCAATGATGCCATTCCAGTGCTCTCATCGTCTTTCTCTTGAGGTAGCGGTAGCGATAGCGATACGATAGCCCACAAGGTCCTCCATGGAAGCCAACGGTGGTCTGAGGTGGGAAGTGGAAACTATCCATGACCTACTCCATACCGAGCATACCTACCTCTACCCATACCCATACCGGTGAATCTGACAGCGCAAGTGCAAGTGCATGTGCAAGTCTGGTTGTCGCTCCTGCTTCTTGGCAGAGAAGCTTGGGCTTGCTCTCTTGGCTTCCTTATGAGGCGCAGAAGGCGGCAAGTGCCTCGAGTGCTCACCCTGAGCTCGCACTTTTGCAGGATGACGAGGAACTCCCGACTCCATATGACGTGAAACCAAGACCGCCCCTCGCTTGTGGCTGTGATCCATCCTAGGTGATCATTCTTGTGTACTGTACTCAAGTAACCTTTACCCTCCATGCGGTACGCCGCTACATAGGAGTACCAGTAAGTCTTTACCGAGCACGAAACTGGATATATTGATCTTCTGCGCAAATGACTTACTCCTTCAGTTTCTCTCACATGAATGAAGCCTTTGTTCAAGATGGTAATTTTGCGTAATATCTTCAACACTAAAACAAAACATCCCAGTCTCTTTTTATACCAACATTATCTTTTGGATGCTTGAATTCGACTTCTGCGTACAAATTTATCCTGGCACGAATGAATCGTTTTCGGAAACCGCATGCATACACGACGTTTTGAAGCGAACGCATACTCAGGGTTGAAAGGGCTTTTCTTCGAAAGCAAACGTATTGAAAGGGTAAGCCGAATGCGGATAATCTTGATGCTTAAGAATGTACTCCAAAATAGCATATATATCCAGAGAGATCCAGGCTATCAAGTCTATCCAATTTATTTAGAAGAACGCCTCTCATACAAAATTTATTGTCTCTATATCTACCACCTTTCTACATTAGCAAAAGTCAATTAAGACCCACACTATTACAATGGAAAAGACGAACGCGGACACGCTAGGTACCAAATATGTGATCTAGTCTATCCAAACTATCTAGGAGGAGAAGAGAACTCAAATTCTTACAAGGGAAAAGACGAACGCGGGCTTTTCAGATACAAAATACCATCTAGAGAGATCCGGTCTATCTAAACCATCCAAAGAGAACTTCTCTTATATAAAACCTATTACATACTCCCTCTATCCACCGTCTATCCACTATAGCAAAAATCAACCAAGCTAAATGAAACAAGAGGTCGAAGTTGATTTCAATACAATAACTTGAAACAATATCCAAAACAGCGCAAGCACCCACGTCTAGCTACTAGAACAAACTACGGGGCTGTGCAAGTATTCTTGTATTGTGATATGGAGCTCAAACCAACTTCATGGAGTGACCAACCCTTAAAACGAGGAAGCAGGCACTACAATTAGTAGATAATGTTATGGAAGTCAACGCTGCTCCAGAAATATAAAGCCATATGTATTTAAGTAAAGATAATATCCATTGGGTATAGAAGAAGGAAGCTTGTGGATAGACAAGTTTCACTTCATGCCTCCGATGGAAAAGATACAAAGCTCAATTGTTCTAGTACTTCGTCTGTATTCTAGTACAAGATACCAAGTTACCTTTGCATACACACTGCTTTCGTGTTATCATTGACAGAAATCTCATACTATATGCGGACTCCCCGAACATGTCGTACCACAAGAGCCGACTCACGATATTGATGCTTCGAAAGTGACGTAGCCTAACGGATCTTTTCGATCTCCAACCCTCGCGTGGCTGAAATGCTCCCACCTACCAGAAGCAGATTTAGCTGGCGACATAAGCCATTTTTCCAATTTCTCAAGACGGAGTTGCCAGTCTTCCATGATCATGGAACCGCCAGTGCTGGGTGCAACACTACTAACAACCAGCCAGTCGACACTATCAGCTAGAAAAGCTTCCACGGTGATGAGATAATCCGCGAAAGGTGGGCCCTATTCAATGTTAGTTTGATTCTGACGATTCCATTCCTCATACGCAGCCCAAAAGTGGGCAGTTGGAAAAGACAAGCCCCCCTCATTTTAGTGGTGAAAGGAATGAATAACTTACATGTCCGAAAACGCCTAATCCACCATCAGCGGCTGCCTTTCAGCCACAGCAATCTTCTCTATATGCGTACTCATCAAAACAAGCATGGATCATCTCGTGGAGTATGACAGAAATCATGTACTGCTCATAGGTAGACTGCAGCTTGAATTTCTTCCCCAATTTCTCGAACGGAGGCGGTGAGATCCAAATCTTCCTCGGATGAAGACAATAAAGACCTACCGTGTCCGAAAGCGTGCCATCGCAACCCCAACGTCAATTTCTGTGATAAAGTTGGTCAGTAAACCACCGAAGAAACAGTAATCCAGTCTGGTCAACCAGTCGTCGAAAAGGACTTTGAGTTCTGCGTGTGTATCTCGTGGTTGGGACCGGGTCAGAAAGGCTATTTACTACGTTCTTCTTCGGAAATCAAAAGCTTTTCGAGAAGCGTAGGGAGCTCGCTTGCACAGTACGTTTTGCTCTTGAGACCTTTGGTTTTCGCAAGAGAGAGGCCGAGGTCTTTCAATGCTCTGGGGTGGGATGGTGCAAGTGTTGCGTTTAAGTCGATGACCTGGCATAGCTGAACTTTCTTGATCTCTGACGGATCGGGCTTAGCCACTGTTTGGGCATTCATTCAAGAGATCTTGAGGGTGTCTTGTGCGATATGGACTTTCTTTGCCGTCAGAGAATATTGATTCTCGCCCCTTGAATAGGCGAGAAGGGGAAAGACTGAAAGCTTTCCACGAATGGCTGAAACGAGACTGCATCGGTGCGGACGCTGTTCTGGGTGCTTCTGGGAAGTGACTTTTTTGTCGTTATTCATATTCCACCGCGGGCTGGAATCGGAAAGACTTGGTTGCTTTTCTGGAAAGGTGGTCACTGTGGTTGTATTTATGGACTAGTGTCAATTATTGGCGTAGATTCAATAAATCCAGCTGAGCAGCTTCTCAAAACTTCTAGAAACAATCGAAATACCTTGATTCACCTTTCTATGGTAGTGTTGTTGTGGTTATAGAAGGTACTTGTCGAGATTCATTGTCACCTACCTAGGTAGGAAAAACGTAGACCGGAGGACGTGGAATGGCTGTCTACGTTTAGTCGTAGTATTCCTGAAGAGGTGTAAGAAACCCGGTCATTGCTCCGTACACGCTATCAAAAAGTAATTATGTCACAAGTCTGGCACAAGTAACTCAATTGTCCCATTTCACCTAGCACAATAAGAATTGAAAAGTAACAATTGTTTCAAAGTATTCGTATAATTAATTTAGTTGTGTGAGGTCTTTGGTATAATAATATTCTTATAACTCTGGCGTGTACAGAGAAATGCCCGGCTCTCTTATCAAGTTGCTATTGCGGTTTTCCCAACAACAGTTTCATGAAACTTGATCAGAATGAAATAAGTCTTGAAGCCCCCTCCGCCTCATCTCATCATTGCATAGTTCGCTGAGATGTTTCTTCTGGCTATTTATACTATGATGTTTAAGAACATCTCGAGAGATACTGAGGTGAGAGAGAAAATATGTTACGCGAACCTCCAATCTTTTGGAAGATGAAAAGTTCTGTCTGTACCTATGGATCTTCGGGTCCTTCTCTTCTGTTTGGCCTTACGGACATTCTATTGGAGGCATTAGACGTGTTTGGTTCTACGTTATCTGCGGAATGTAACATTCTCTGCAGAATATCACACGTTAAAGCCGGCGTGAACTTTCTCATAAAAAAATATTCTTTCCAAAGTCATTTCTTCCTGGATTAATGGTCAACCATTGGGGAAAATGTGTTGTTTGTTAGCAGGGGATGTGTTATTTGCTATCAAGTGAATATGGTGGGACCTGGTTGGTGCCAGTGGTTGCAACAACGTAATTGAAAAGGTTGGCAATTTTCTCGTTTAGGTTGGATAGGTCGGATGTCTACCTAGGTACCTAGGTAGTAGGTAGGTAGGAATAACCATCGATATTGACCACACCACTAGGCCAGCCTCAAACTCGAGCACAACGGATAACACTAACCATAAGGGCGAACATTTTGAATTGACAGGGAAGAGAAACTTGGAGGGTTTTCCATTGTTCGTCGTGTAGTTGCGTACAAGACCCAGTGATTCAGATTATGCAAGGAGCGACCTATATCGCACGTCTCCTGTCCTAATCTACCTACCTAACCAAGAGAGAGCATCCACCTACCTGCCTGCCTTGGCGAGCAGTTTAAGAGACCTCAGAACAGAGAGGAGCTCCAGGCCGGAGGTCAGTTCAGGGTTGTTTTCAAAGCCGACATGTGATGGGACACGAGGTTCGAGGGTCGAGACCAAGGACTCGCTCCTTCCCAATTTCATTGATGCTGCAACTTGACTCGAGCTTGAAAATGACTTCGGGAGGAGTCGCATTGAGGCCCTATGTTGAGTGAAAGGTCTGAGGTCTACCTACATTAGAGGAAAACCCCCATATATAAAACGGTAGTAATACAGTAGTAATACGATTGTACTCTGTAACCGTTGTGAATTTGCGCTCCGTGCCATGCCGTAGTAATACGGTTACAATTTATAGGAGTTATTAGGTATAACTGTTGTAACGCTCGCAACAGATGTAAATATCGCTAGTTGTAAGTAAATCAACTGTCTATATATATATCCGTTGTAAGAAAGTTATCTAGCTATAAATATCGACGGTTGATTTGCTTACAACTAGCGATATTTGCATCCGTTGCAAACTTTACAACCGTTCTATTAATTTGCAACCGTTGCGCAACCGTCGTGCAATCGTCGTACAACCGTTGCGCATTTTACAACCGGCTACATCCACGTACGCACCCCTACCTAGGCATACGACGCCAAGACTCGGAATGCCCTCACTTAAGGAAGGCACCGACCTGCGTACCTGCCTACCTACAGGTGCGCATCACCTAGGCACCCGACCAAGGTACTAATCTACCTGCGCACGACTACAGCTACAGAGCGCAGGTGATACGTGCAGGGGAACTTTGCCTGAGTCGATCGAATCTGCCACTTATATAATTATAGCGTTGTTGTCCGTAGTCTCCTACACTTCCGAGCACTTATATATAGACTTCCGAGGAATATCCGTAGGGGCTCTACTTCTAAGGATTTTTGCAACCGTCGCGTAACCGTTGTATAGCGGTTATAGTCTATAACCGTCTTAGCCTATATAACGGTCTTAGACTACAACCGTTTAATTTAGTACAACGGTTATATAATAAGCTAGTTATCCCTTTTATATCTGTTATAGAAATAAAACGTACTACATAGGTTGATTCCTATAACGGATATAAATCCTACTTAGCTATACTATTTAATAGGTTGTAAATAGTAACGGTATTACTACGATTGCAAATTTTTACAACGGATGTAAATTTCACAACCGTATTACTACGGATTTCAAAAGGGGGGTTTTCCTCTAAAGTAGGTAAGCTAATGGAAGCCAGACGCAGGCTACCTTCGTTCCTTCCTCTACCACCTACGAGAAGACCAACCTGGAAAGCTCGACGTCAACTCGACCTGCCTGGCCTCCCAAGATCGTGGCATCGTTTCAGCCTGGCGAAAACGCCCTATTTCAAGTCGTTCCTTCCTTCTCAACTCACATTCGGCTTGGACATCTGCACGGACCCTACCTAGGTAGGCGTGGTAGGTATTCCGTCGAGTACCTATACCTATACCTATAAAACCCCCCCCCCTCTTTCCCCCACAGATACACTTTTTCATCGCAGAAAAGTGATCGTGGGGGTGGCTGCCCAGGTGGTGTAGACTTTCCGGGTTGTGCGATCATGGATGGCATCGGGGTTTTTTGTTCTGCGCAAGACTACCTAGGTAGGTAGGTAGGTAATCAAACCTATTCTGAATCTTATCGTGTATCAGTTCTCTTAGGAGGAAGACGAGTTTTAGGAGGTTAGGGCTAGGTATGAAGTACAAGAATGTGCGATCGTAGCTGGAGTCAAAGTCGAATTTTCCTCCTCCATCTATGGCAGCGCGCAAACCCCTTTTCTGCCCTGGCAGGTACGCAAATACGCAATCCCATCCAGACGTACCTAAATAGGTAATGAAGTGGTATTGCGCGAGAACTCTTTGGTAGATTTTCCAATGAGTGCCCATTCAAAGGGCAGGAAATCCGTGTGAGCTTTCGCTGTAGTGGTCCTCCCAGTCTTGGGACTATCACTTCTCCTGGCTTCTATCCTCTCCAACTCAAATGTATTCCATCTATGGAGTGACAGTCTTTGTGCCGTAGGTACGTTTCGCGGCCCTCATTCACTGTCTGCTAGCAAGGTTGACTGGCCAATTAGCGAGACCCCACAATAGTTTCCCACACAGGATATTTTTCATACACCACCAATAAGCAAAACCCACCACGCAGCGATTAAGTAGCGCAAACTAGCACAATAGCCTAACGGTCAACGTGTGAAACAAGCCGCCTGCGTACTCAGAAGGCACTAAGGACCCACTCTAACTGCAATAACCCTGAGGCCTCGTGAAACGTACCCCTAGAAAGGTATGTCCCCTATTCTGCGGGGTAGGTTAGGGTAAGTCTCTATGCACGGGTAGAGAGGTAGTCCTAGCCTACGGGTACAGGACTATTGGTTTTGCTAGTAGGATTGTTGATTTTTAATTCTTTTTGGAGGTTTTTGGAGGTTTTTGGTTGTTTTGCGACGTAAGCGAGATTTCCTGAGCGCCAGGCAACAAGGCAGCGACGAATTGGTCCTTGGCAGGTTTTTTGATTTAGGAATTCGCGCAGCGCTTTGAACGTTTGGTGGTTTATTCTCAGCGATTGATCCTGTTGCTTAGCTACTTTTAGACTAGCCCTATACTACTTGAAGTAAGGATAAGTGAGATGTACAAGGGTAACAACTCATGGCAAGGGCTATGCGACTATGGGCATTCTGATATTTTGATTCCCGTTATAAAAGTCCCACTGTCTCGGTATAAGAACCCTTCTAAGACTCCTACCTCCTTACTATTTCCAACCTCTGTCGCCCCAAACTACCTTATCATACCCTCTATTTATTCCAGCTTTCCCCAAATAACCTCAAACCACAAACTCCTTAAAACATTCCACACAACCATGAAACCATACACCCTCAACTACCTTCTAATACTCCTTCCGCAGCTGTTAGCACAGCAGGATGCCCAAATGCCCCTGCCAATTATAGAGGCTACTGTGCGTAATTCGTTGGTCCTCTCTTTACCTAGTCTACATTGGAATCACCAAGCTACTTCTACCCTCATCCTCGCTAAGAAAAGAAGTAGTAAGAAGGAGAAACTTGCACGAAATTCCTGGAATAGGAACAGGGTGTTGGGAGGGAACATGCGGGTACTGTTAATACGTGTAAGTCAATAAAAGATTCTGGAATCCAGCAATTTTGCGCCTGTGTTACTTTAAAACTTTTTGAGAATAAGATCTTGGGATAGCCTGCGATTACTTAAGCTGCTGGGAATGTAAGACAGGCGGGAATTGCTCTATACACACTGTCAAAAGTTATTATACTAAAAGTCTAGTATAATTAAATCAATTGTCCAATTTTATCTAGGTTAATAAGGGATGAAAAGTATCAATTATTATAAGCTATTCGTATCGTTGATTTAGTTGCGTGAGTTCTTTAGGATAATGCTTTTTTAAATACCTCAAGGTGTGTACAGAGTAATGCCGGCCTCTATTATTGGTAAGTTTTCAATTTACTATCCTTCATTCTCTTAAGTACATACCTACCTGAGTAAGGCTACATTCATCCCTACCTCACAGCGTGTCTTTCTGGCGAGGAATGAAACTTTTGCTCTGAAAAACTTAACCTCCTGCTGGCTCTTGAACAAAGAGGTATCACTTCTGGAACAAAAGCATTCTGCTTGTTTCAATTCGAATAAAATCACCAGGCTTTCAATCCCCTTGTTCGTCTCGTCTCTTTGCCCCTTAATCCCTTGGACTTCTATATGAATCCCGCTTTCTTACAGCCATCTTGAATGCCAAAAAATACATCTCACATATAATAAGCAAAGCACGAAATCTTACTATATCAGATAGATTTAAGTTAAGCATAATTCAACGAAGCAAACTCATCATGATCTCGATAAAAGATTTCCAAACCTTCGATGGGCCGATAATCTGAGGCTATCAGCCACCAAGCCTTGACCAGGCTGTTCCATCAAGCCACCCCCGTTTGTTAGCCGACTTCCAAAATAGGGGCGAGCTCAGGAAACGGGCATATTCTCCATTAAAAATGGCAGAGTTTTTCAGCATCGCTCACGGAAAGTACACTCCTTCCAAAAAAGCAACACCCGGCAAATGGAACCATATTCCATGAAATTCCAGGTGGAATATTCTATATAGAATACTTCTAGAGCACCTATAAAATAGAATTGAATCCTTCTATTGACTAGGCTCTGGAATTCCAGGGGTTCCATGGAATTCCAGAGGTTTTTCTAACCAATCAAAATATAGGACTAAGGAGTAGTTTTAAAGTGAATAGAAGGAATATTAGTTATTACCTTTTACCTAACACGCTATAGACAAAATAAGCTATAGCTTATTTAGTGGACCGCTTATATTGTCCACCTACTTAACATATTTTAAAAGGGGTACTATAATTTAGGTAGTCTAGAGCTATATAGGAGCTTTCTATTAGTTAACAGGACCGGAGGGACTTTTTTCCGAGTCATGTGATATTCTATCTGGAAATTCTATAAATTCTATGGAATATATACCTCTGGAATGGAGTACTTCTAGCCAAATCCTAAAAGGAATGGAATTATTCTAGAGGGAGGGTCTGGAATGGAAAGGAATTCCAGATGCCGAACGTTACAAAAAAGCAAGAGAACTAATCTCCTCCCCAATCCCCAAAACAGAAACCAGAGTGCAAATTCAAAACGTCATGACAGCCTGGGCGAAGGCCTTCGACTCCTGGTTCTTTGCAGATAGTCTGCACGACACTCTCGTCGAGCTTGTATTTCTCGAGGATCCTGAACAACCAAGAGCTTACTTCGAAACAGATACTGTTGATGGCCACGAGGCAAATACTATCTTCATTAACCTTAGATCGAGCTCTCGTGAAATCGAGGAGTGGCCAGAGTATAAAGGTACGTTTGAGGAATTCTACATCGCCGCGTTACTCCACGAAATGGTCCATGCGTTTTGTAATATTTATCATTGTCAAAAGACATGTTGCAAAGAACAAACATGGCACCCGTCTACTGGAGCCATTGGATGTGATGGACACGGACACCCCTTTAGCGAGGGTTCAAAGTGTTTGCTCGACGCCTCGGTCGCAGAGGGCCTGTCATGGGCAGTTGATCCTATTGCACTTGGTCTGGGTGATAGTGTTGTTTTTTTCTATGTTTATAAACCTCTGGCAACCCGACGAGAAGCAATTGGAGAACTGGAACGTACCGGTTGATAAATTTGGACACGTAGACGCTTGGTATCCTTTGAGGCAAGAAGCTATTGCCAACGGAGAGTTTGATCCTACAGAGTATTCTTAGATATGTGGAGAGAGGTACACTTACAAGTATTTACCCCCGAGAGCATTTGTGACTTCAAGAGATGAATTATCGAATCCCCATTGCCATGAACCTTCTTCAATAATGCCAGCAAGTTCCATAGGCTTTTTTGACCCATTCTCCACAATTTAGATCAATGACCAAGACTCTTCTAGCTCTCCGGCTGAATTTAAAGCGTACATATACGTGAGAAGGCTGGGCAAAATAAATCTCAGGTACTGTGACTCAATTCGCCTCTGCTTTCTCGCTTACAGCAAACCATCATGTCAATTCTCATATCGTTTGGAAATCCACAAAGAAGCAAGCTTTGACTAACAACATCCTATCGAACCTCATTGTTCCTGATTTTTCCTGTTTCTCAGGGTTATCTATTCACATGGAAGTTGGAAAGGATATCCCCTTCAACACGAGTAGAGCCCTAGCAGAAGGATTTATAACAAACATGAAAATAGCAGAATAATGCTTTAATACTATTGACAACACTTAACAAAAGCAAAAATATTCCGCCGAGAAAACAAAAGTTGCCTCCTTCGAGAAGCTGAGGAAAAAAAAGGAGTCGGAGCTGATGTGAGAACGCCACGAACCGTGACACCCCTGGAAGCAACTCGCCAATTGTGACTGCTCATTCCTCCTATTTTCTTTTGAAGGAATCAGAAGGAAAACCCTCGAGGACGTTTGAATGAAATACGGTATTCTTGGGTGAAGTCAAAATGCACAAGCAGAAACAACGAGGATGGTGAGACATTATTTCCACGTGGGTTGGGGTTCGGGGTCGGGTAAGATGGAAATGGAATTATATTTAGTGATATAATACGCCCAATCTAGCCTATTAAATCTCCCATATGGAGCGTAATATTCAAGCTGGCGTTTGAGTGACGGAAGGAGCGATACAACTTAACTAGTAACATGGATCCCCTCTAGTTATAGGTGATACAAAATAACAACAACAACAAACTTTCGATCAAACCCCACCAGAGGTCAACAAGTTACAGTGGATGGAACTCGTTTCCTGCCTCAATTGGACTCCCTTGACGCCATCTCATCCCAAGCGACCCTCTTGAGCCCGCATGCATAACTGCATCGGGCAACCCCTTGGCACCCAAGCACACAGAAATCCCGAACGCTCGCAGGACTCTGACACCACTAAATTGTCCAAGTATATGATTCCTTCGAGCACTTGATTCCGTTATCAATCTCATGTCTCTCCGTCTTGTCTCTTACGGTCCATTTCGTCTCAGTTCCAATCTCATGTCCAATTCTCTTTGTTCGTCTTCAAGCTGAGGCTCGCGCCACTATGCAGCTGGACGAAGAATCCGGCTCACAATCGCCCTTGCCTGACGTCTTATCCCATGGCCTCGTTGCTGTTTCGACCTTTGGACTCTTATCTTTCTTCTGCTCTACATCGTTGTTTTTCTATCTTAGCTGGCGACTTATAACGTGGAGACGATGGCGACGGGCTTCCGGGAGCCAAGCACCTACAAACCAGTTCCTTCTCCTCATTTACAATCTTCTGTTGGCCGATATTCAGCAGGCGTTGGCCTTTTTGTTGAACATTGGAGCGCTGAAGAATAATGCCATCTTGATCCGGACCCCGTTGTGTTTTGCACAGGGTTGGTTCGTGTCCAGTGGAGATCTTGCCAGCAGCGTGTTTATTTGTTTTATTGCCGTCCATACGTTTTTCGGGGTGGTGAAGAATTATAGACTCCCCACCTGGGCCTTCTATACAGCCATCGGTCTGTGCTGGTTCTTCATCTATTTCATCTCTGCAATCGGTCCCATTCTCCATGGGCCCGACTTCTACGTTCGAGCTGCTGCGTGGGTAAGCAAATACACTCTTCTTTTGCGAGTTCAAGCGTATTCTAATAGTACTTTTAGTGCTGGATTAACAGAAAATTCTCTCATGAACGTCTCTGGTCCCATTACTTATGGATTTTTGTTGCTATGTTCTCTACGATCCTTATATACACATTCATCTATATATGGCTTCGCCGTCAACAACGCGCGGGGAGGATACATAAAGTTGCCATCGAGAACGCAACTCCATTAATGATTCTGTACCCACTCATTTATACCGTCTGCACTGCTCCTCTCGCCTCCCTGCGTATTTATTCTCTTGCCGGCCACAAAGTCTCTCTGCCATGGTTTTGCATGGCTGGCACAATGATTGCTTGTAACGGCTGGCTGGATGTGCTGCTATATGGTGGGTATTCCGTTATTACTTTCTTCTCTCTAGGAAGCTGCTCGATCAGGAAATGCTGACTCTGAGACCTCCCATAGCCTCGACTAGATCGGACATTGTCTTTGCAGAAATGCCACCAGGAGAAGGAACGGGTTTGGACACATTCAACTTCATGGGGAAACAGGTCACAGGGTCCGGGATGGGAACGATTACAACGGTCAGTGCTGGAGCAGCTGCTCATAGTAGAGATGGAAGCCGAATAGCTTTGAGGATGCGAAGTCCTGACCAAAGGGGTGGGGACCATCTGTATAGTATGGGACAGATTAGTGTGACTGGAGAGATAACTGTTAGTTCTACGAGTTTGGAGGAAGGGATTGTTCAGCATGAATCGATGGGAAAGCAGGCATCGGCTTCTTCGGTTACGAGTCCTACTTTGGATGGGAGTATGAAGAGCGCGAGAAGTGAGTTTATGAGTTTAGCAGGGAGTTCAAGTTTGGGAAGGCATCGAAATACCCACGTTATTGTGAAAAATATTTTAACCAAGTTTATAGGAAAATAAACATAAGCATCATGAGACTGTTAATAAGTTTCTATTCTTCGTAGCTTCATTTCCCTAAAATTACACTGTTATTCCAAACCCTCCGAGATCATACATGCAACTAACACCACGTTTGTAAGATTAAGAGAGGCGAGCATTGCTCTGTACACGCTATCAAAAGTTATTATATCACAACTCTGGTACAAGTAACTCAATTGTCCTATTTCACCTGGTACAATAAGAATTGAAAAGTAACAATCGTTCTAAAGTATTCTTATAATTAATTTAGTTATATAAGGTCTTTAGAATAATGTTTTATAACCCAGGTGTGTACAGAGTAATGCCCGCCTCTCTTACATGCGATGAAATTCATAAACGCAGGAGTTGAGGAAATACCAATGAATAAAGCAACGATTGAAACCCTTCCCCACACTGTACAACCACCCATCTGCAGAATCAAGAAGCGGGAAAACGTTATTCGGATGCCTCAAATTACTCCCTCAGAGTCTTTTCAGCCGCTAATTGATGAATTGACTCTTGTCAATCACTGGCACAACCGTGAAGTTATCAGAACATTCACATTCATCTTCATTCCAAATTAAACCCCATGTGTGAAACATTTAGAGCATAATAATTTATCATTACTCATTATTCCATTTCAATACCGTCTCACCTTACCACCTAAAGTTCCATCGAAAGCATAAACCTCTTCCTAGGACTCAGCAAACCCTCACCCCTTTTCCTCAACTTCGACGTGTCATCCCCAACATCCGGTCGATTGGTCGTAGTATTATACGTACTATTTGGAGGCAGGACCGCAAAACTAATCGTCCCATTTCTCTCTCTGTAGGTACTTTTCGCGGTGCCATTAGTGATGTATCCCGATTTCGCCTCTACTGATCCGGTCGCGATATCCTTTCCTCTGATGGCGCGGTCGAAGAGTTCCAATGCAACGAGAGGCTGGTAGAAGGGGACTTCATGGCCGGATTCGTAGATCCGGGAGAAGGAGAAGAGTCCGGATTGTTTGACTTGGCCGTGGGTTATGGAATCGGAAGTGGTGATGTTGGTGTAGCCTGCGGAGGAATATCCTGGTATGTTGACTTCTTCGGCTACTGCCTCGCTGCCTAGCCAGTTACAGCTATGAATTTTTTAGATTCATTCTTTGCCTTTTAAATATTGCTGAGAAAGAAAACTTACTTGTAATCGGCGTCTCCAGCAAAAAGAACAGTGTTAACACCCTGCTCTACCAATTTTCTCAAAGCTTCTACAGTTCCTGCCTCCCGACTATCATCTCCTGTTGCAGCAAAAGCTCTGCCCACGGCACTGCTATAACCACTATAATTCTGGTAAGCCCCAATAGCTTGCTGAACTCTCTCGGTACGCAAATAATCTGTGTAATAACGATAAGGAAATGGATCTGGGACCAGTTGTCGTAAATCATATTCATCTCTTCCAGTGTATTTATCATAGATGTTTTCCACCATATCAGCACAGAAGTTGTCGGCGGCTGCGCAGATAGAGTCGAGTCCTCGAGCTGTACAGTCTTTGATCTGGTCTACGCAGTTTCCGGCTCCGTAAAGGTTGTTGTACATCTCGGCCTTCACGCTTGCGTTGAATGGGTCAAAGTCGTATGTATTCCCGGGGGAAATGGTGAAATTGTAGTAGGCTTGGTATTGGAGAAGAGGATCGTACCAGCCGTTCCTTTGAGCATTTTAGTACTTGCTATACCGTGGTCTAAGTCATTCAAATACATACCCAATCAAGACGGTTTCCAGGGAGACGTTTTGGGCACCAGGTATGTTTTTGGCGTTTTGCTCCTCAATATACTCATTGAAGATAGGACCATAGTGCCCACCATAAGACTCAGTTGCGAAATGAAATCCGTTTCTGGAATACTCTGGGAAGGCACCCATAAAGCCTTGGATGGTCTTCCAGAAGCTAGGTGCAGCATTGGCGGTGGAGTTTGCTGTTAAGGTCAGGTTTGGATAGCTGAATGTGCCGCAGTTTTCCCCAGCGTGTTCAGGACAAATGTTGTCTGGAAGACTGACGATCGAACCGCTGATGATAGTTAGTATACCTGCGGAAATTCTTGGACCATGACACTCACCCATCTGTGTAACCATTGATCGGTATGCTATATGAGAAACCAACCTGAGCAGGGTGATCGATATCTGTGGTATAAGTTAGCATCAATATGTTGACATAACGGGTTTTCATAAACTTGCATAACATGTTGCTAACACTTGACCACGAGTAGGGGTTGTTGTAAACATTTCCATCACTGTCGATTCGACAAGGCCCATTTTCCTCAAACAAGCCTATCATGGAAGACGAGCCAGGACCCCCATTGATCCAGACCTAGTAACGGAGTCAGCAAGTACTGCACAATGATGGAAATTTCAGGTGAACATGGTCGGTGTAGAAGTTCTCAATTCGCAAGATCGCAGAAATAAGAGAGCCAGATAGGTACACTGTAGCCCCGCCATCTTGTGATCTCAGTTCCCGCTCATCCAAGTATATCCCAACATCCCACACTTCCTCACACCCCAAACCCTCAAACAAAAAAGAAGGCCCCTCCATACCTCAAAAGGCCAAAATGAAAAAGATTCGCACATACCGTCAAAGGTGCCTCCAGAGGATCCACACCATTGTCAGAGTTATTCCTTGCCGCAAAAAACCAAAAGAAAATATGCTGGTCCTTCTCGACATCCGCATACCCCGCAAAACTCCTAACCTCAGGATCCAACTCACAGATGCCCGTTGGCACCTCTTTATACCTCACTTGGATGCCCGCACTTCCCAATTTCGTAATAAGATCTGTGGGTGGGTTTACGAATTGGGATGCTACCTTGGAGGCTACGAGGGTGAGGGAGAGTAAAGCGGAGGAGACCATTTTGGAAGATCGGACGGGGAAAGAAGAGGGAGGAAGGAGAGGGAGAGGAGAAAGAAAGAAGAAGATCGGAGAGAAGGGACGGAAAGCTCTACTTATGAGTTAATGAGAAGCTGCTAGTGAAATTGATGTGCCTATTCAAACTATCCTTGATTTGGGAAGATTAGGTCCGAACGGCCACCCACTCTACTGCTGTTCTCGTCGATCGTGCCTGCATGGAACCAACCTGCGAGGCTGTACTCGTAGTAGTATTCCGGATTAAAAGTGACAACAAGTTTTTATACAATTACAGTTGAGGATCTCCTGTACATTAAAATTACCTAGTATGGATCGTACCTAAAATTTAATGAGCCAAGATTCTTTCCACGCAGACTCTAAGTAGCTCGGTGCGTAGGGAACACTCTTCGTACTATTCACCACCCCTCGATCGATTAATTACTGTGCCCAGTACCTACCTGTAGAAAAGCTCGCAAAGTGAGGCGAAAAAACCATGGAGAACACTCCGTGTATGTCACTGTTGTACCGATACTGCAGTACCGGGTATCTGGCATCTCAAAAAGGAAGGTCGGGAACGAAGGAAGGAGAGTTCCGAGGCGTTGTCGTCGTGCGAAAAGGAACTTTCTTCGTCCGCTAGTTTTTTGATTAAAAAGACAAGGATACCTCAAGATAGATAAAGGACGGCACGCAAACAGTAATCATTATTGGATCCATGGTTATCGCGCGAGAAATTCTGTCATTATGTTATGGAATTGCTGGTAGTTATAATGTACAAGTAGAGATGTCGTGGAAAGGATCTACGACGAGAGAAAACAAGCTCTCCCCTCGCTCCACTTTATGATAGTAAATTACTATTACTGTAGGTACATAACAAAGTATAACCTCTCCATCCACTTTCCACTTTCCACTCTCCACCTTCCAGCTAACCAGCTAACCAGCCTGACCTAGACCATCCAACTTAGTACTTTCAGTACCCCGAAGGACTACAACGTTTCAATCTGGTTTCCTCGAGCCTAGATTTATAGGGCTGTCCGCGATTTTATTATCCTGGAACCTTAGAAAAATGAACAGTCATCTGTTGCCAGTGTATAGTATCTCCCGTCCTTTCCTAGGTATCTACACTCCTCTTTAAGGCCTAACTATTAAATTTAGTAGGCTCTCCTATCTATTCTATTCCGACCTAATTAACGCTCCTTATCCTTACCAGAGTACCGGATAAGAAGCTCTAAGGGGTAGGAGTACTCCTAAAGCTAGGTGTTATAGGTTTTAGTAGCTCTAGTAGTAAAACTGGTGGAAATTACATCTCCCTAGTTTTCTAAAAAAGAATTAGTACCTTTTATACTAAAGTTTATACTCAAAAAAGCCGTACACGTTCTTAATCTATATAGAAAATTCCCAGGCGGTCTAAGAGATATACCGCCCGGATTTCCTAGGGGTCGGTTTCTAGAATTTAGATTATGTAGTAAAGAGACTGTTACTTACATAGCAAAAAGACTGTTACTTACATAGTAAAAAGACTATTACTCGTACTTGCGTAGCAAAAAGACTGTTACTTACGTCGTAAAAGACTATCGCTTATTCTTAACCTTATTTCAGCCTTTCTTTTCCGCTCCTCTCCCAAACCTAGGTAGCCTCTCCTTATCCCATCCCATCCATCCAGTTAAATATCCCGCTCTCCTCTCCTTTGCCAGGCCAACTCTCTGGTACTCCCGCTCCTTTCCGAGTGGCCAGGAGAGGAAAGGACGGGAGATACCAAACACGGACTGTTGCTACTTTGAGTGTTTACACTACATCTGCTCTAGGTACGAGTAGTGAGTTCCAAGTACAGTACTAGCCCACTTATCCTCGGCGCTCGGCCAAACCACACCAAAAACAGCACTTTTACCTAGTTTGCGACAGGATACAACTCTCCGCCTAATGAATAGATTTCTCTATAATTAGAAATTCGGATTAATTCTCGGTGAAGTAACTAGCATTATGAGATGAGTCTTATATATAAAGGAATACTGTACTGCAATTTCTTGTTCAGATTTAGTTAATCGATGAAAATTTAATTGATCTAACCAGGCGCCTAAAGTACAGATCTATAGAGCTGTGCCAATGATACAATTATGAACCTCTTTCGAACGGTCGTCCTATCCAAGTGGAAATCTTGTGTTTAGTGCCACGTCTTATGTTTAGTACCACTCTCCACCAAGCCATCTGTTGAGGAAATCTAATGAGGCTTCTGGCTGGTCCATTGGAACCATGTGTCCAGCACCGAAGATTTGCATGAAAGTGCTAGATAAAATTAGTCGTTAGTCCTAGAAGGATGTCTTTCAAAGGATGACTTACAAGTTTCCACTGTTCTTGATCTTTCCGTACTTGTGGCCACCATCGAGCTCGAGGTCCTTGATGGAAGCCTTGTTGAAGTTCTTTTGACCAGGCCACTCAAGAGCCTCTGTCCAGGCTTGGTTACCGAGCCACTAAAACATGTCAGTATTCTTCCTTGATTCATTCATTGAGTATTTGGAGTAATAGCTTACGTTGCAGATGTAATCAGCGTCACCGGCGTAGATTAGAACTGGGAGCTCTGCGAGGATACCGGGAACAAGACGGTGGAAAGGTTGCATCCAGTCACCTTGGAAAAGGAAGTTTCTGTTGATATCAAAGTTGCAGCTGTCATATGAGCTGACTTCGACACCGAGCTCGGCTTGCACATCCTTTTTGTTGAGGTACTCGCTAATCCAGCCGAGAGCAGAGTAGCAAAGGTTGCTAGAATCCTCACACTTGCTTCGGATATCGTAAACGTTCTGGCCGGTCTTTTGGTAAGGTCCGATCATAGCATTGTTGCAGTAAATGCTTGCAGGGACACAAGACCAAACACTCTCACTATCGTAGCAGTTTTGAATGAGACTTTGGCAGCGAGGAAGTGCGTTGTCCATGGCTTGACACTCGCTCTCACTGAGAACGGCCTTGTATCCACCCTTTCCGCATGCCATTGGCTTGTAGTATTCGTATTGGGTCAAACCATCGGTGAGACCATTTCCGATCAAGATAGACTTGAGATTGATGTTACGCTTCTTGTGTGAGAGAATCTCGGATGTGAAGACTGGAATGTAGTGACCGGCATATGATTCTCCTGCGATGTGGAAGTCCTGGGTTGCGTATTCGGGGAATTGCTTGAAGAAGAGTGTAAGGAGAGCATAGACATCCTTTCCTGCAGCGATTGTGTTGCTGACAGATCCGCCACTGTAGGAGTAACCGACGTTGACTGGTTGATCGAGGAAGATGACCGAAGCATTGGCGTTCCAGGAGTATGGGTTGCTCTTGAGCTTCAAGTTCTTGTCAATTGAAGATGGACCGAGTTCGAGGAAGAGACCGGTTAGAGATGAGCAGCCTGGGCCTCCGTTAAGCCAAAGGATAACGGGGTCTTTCTTTGGGTCATTTCGGGACTCGAAGAACCCTAGAAGGTCGTTAGAAGCAGTTTCCAAACTGATTTATTTGATTTCAGGTAGACTTACAGTAGAAGAGATGCTTATCCTTCTCATCATCATCGAGATAACCACTGTACTGCTTGACAGTGTCAACACCAAGCTTAGATGGATCAACCTTCTTAGCTCTGAGGTTGTAGTTCTCGAGCTTTCCGTCAATCTCTCGCTCCTTCTCACCGCTCGAGTTCTCAACCCAAACACTCTGGACATCAGCACCCTTAACAATGTAGTCCCAAGTGCTATCCGGACGTTTCTTGTGTGGTTTAGGAGCAGAGAAAAGGTTGGCCTTTTCCATAGCTTCCGGGAAGAGCATGTTGACCTCGTCCCAGATCTGCTTGACTTCCCCGGACATCTCCTTCATGGACTCGGAAAGATGGCCAAGGGTCTTGGACCAGGCATCAGAGACTGGTTTGGTAATCTGCTCGAGGGGATTCTGAGCATTGCCTCCCAGAATCTGTTGTTGAGATGCTGTGGCGGTGGAGGCAGCGCCTAGAAGGATGGTGGATGTGAGGAGCTTCATGATGAAGGTTGCCAGACGGCAGATGGGTTGTTTAGAGAATAGGGATTAACAATTCTCACCAGGAGCTGTATTGATGTGATGCTCTCAGATCAGTGTTGATGTTGACGATGAGATAAGGAGAGAGAGAGAGCTGGGAGGAGGAAGCACAAGCAGCTGATATGGACTGTCTGGGCTTGTGATGAGTTGTTTCATGGTTGGCCGGGGAGCTTCCACCTCACTAGCTAGCGCAATTACGTCGTCTGGGGCAGCCGAGTGTTTGCCTGCGAGCCTGCAACACACACGCACTCCACGGCGCCTGCCGATAAGGATTGTGGAGGTGCTGGTGCTGGTGGGCGCCTGACTCGGAATCTGCTTTGCGGTGTGTGGGCACGGTAAAGCAGCAGCATGTATAAACTCAATCGAGGAAGGTACGATCAGAAGCACATCCAGGTACGGAGGTACCGGTACCTAAGAACCCAATTAACCCGCTCAGAGTAGACTGATACTCAAACTGTGCTTCCTATTGCTCAACTCCGTGTAGCATTCTTCGCTCTTCTGCAGCACTCGCCTTCTGCAAGTAAGCTCAAGCTTATTTGCCGCTGTTGTTGGGACACACGTGCCGCATCGGGGGCTGCTCCGAGCTACTGTAAATCCCTCTGAACCTCAGAAAATCGCTTCATGAATGCGTCACTGGGATTCGAGGATTACAAAAATATAAAACGCATCTTGTAGCTTCAGACCACATTCTACGAGTGAAGGCATATCAGTAAGTGAAAGGAAGAATCTTTTTTGACCATCATAATTACAAAAAACGTGTCACGCTCTTTACGGATCAAGTACTCGTACTCATACCTACCATTCTTTTACCCCTCCATTCTGTTGCTGCTGCTCTCCTCCCCGACCATCATAGCGAAAACCCATCACCACAAAATCACCACGAAACCCGATCCCGATAATAACCCCTCCAAGACCCAAAGAAATACATCCAAGTACAAACACAGGCCATAGCCTCGACCCCACCATGCCAATAAACCAACCCTCCAACCAAATCAAACTCACAAACGTCTCCCTGGTGCGGCTAAAGAAAGCCAAAAAGCGCTTCGAAATCGCCTGCTACAAGAACAAAGTCCTAGAGTGGCGCTCCGGAATCGAGACCGACCTGGACAACGTTCTGCAAATCGACAATGTCTTCCTCAATGTCTCGAAAGGTCAGACGGCTCCCTCAGCAGATTTGCAAAAAGCCTTTGGTGCAAAGACCCCCGTGAAGGATATCATCCTCGAGATTCTGAATAAGGGAGAGTTACAGGTGGGAGAAAAGGAGAGAGCAGCCCAGTTGGAGAGAGTTCATAATGAGATTGTCGATATTGTGGCAAGTAAGCTGGTCGATCCAAGGACGAAAAGAGTTTATACGACGGGTATGATTGAGAAGGCTCTGGAGATGTTGAGTTCGCAAGGGTCTCAGGCACAACAAGAGAAGAAGGCTGCCGCTGCTGCGGGAGATGCTGCTGCTATACCAGCCGCAGAAGAAGGGGAGGCGAAGCCAAAGGTTAAGGAATATACTTGGACGGGTGTTTCTGCAACAAAGAGCGCGAAAAGTCAGGCTCTGGATGCCATGAAGGCACTCATCATCCATCAACCCATTCCGGTTGCCAGAGCTCGCATGAGGTTACGAATTACCTGTCCAACGAGTATCCTCAAGCATTCCACGAAATCGGCACCAAAAGCTGCTGCTGATGCCGAGAATGGCGAGGAGAAAACCAAGGAGACCGTCAAAGACCATATTTTAAGCTTCATTGAGCAAGTCGAGCATCAGGACGTCGTTGGCTCCGAGTGGGAGGTGACGGGATTTGTAGAGCCAGGTGCTTTCAAGGGCTTGGGGGACTTTGTTGGTAGTGAGACTAAAGGTCAGGGTAGAGTTGAGGTTTTAGAGATGGCCATCATTCAAGAGGATTGATCTAGTGATTTCAAGATTAATCTCATGACGATTACTAGAGTGATTTTGAAACACAGACGATATTCCCATTCCTACCTGTCTGGTGGAATCACAATTCACTTACTACTTAGTTTAGTGCGCATAAAAATGAAATCTACAAAGCAAATCATTCCTCAATTGCATATCACATTGGATAAATCCTTGAAGTTTCATTTTTTGTTCCCTTGACTAGATGTAGTAGAATACACCGAGTTCTTGCTTCATGTCGAAAGAGCAGTAAAGCCAAATAATGCACCGGATACGGAAGAGTATCAATCCATAGCAAAGCCGCACTCCATCCGTCCGATTTATCCCATTCCCAAATGCGCTTAACCACCCTTCTTCTTGGAGACACCGACAGTTCTACCTCTACGACCAGTGGTCTTGGAGTGTTGTCCACGAACACGGAGACCCCAGTAGTGACGAAGACCACGATGAGCGCGGATCTTCTTTAGGCGTTCGAGGTCATCACGAAGCTTGGAGTCGACACCGTTGGCGAGAATTTGAGAGTCTTTGCCATCGACGATATCGCGTTGACGATTGAGGAACCAGGCTGGGATCTTGTATTGGGTTGGGTTTTGGATGATGGTGACGATACGCTCGAGTTCTTCGGAGGTGAGTTCACCGGCACTAAATTTCCAATCAGCCTTGTCCTCCAAGTCATCCAAATATCGTCGCGTGGGCTTCCTACCGCTTGGTCAAGTCGACATCGGCCTTCTTGCAAACCAAGATACTGTAACGTCTACCGACACCCTTGATCTGTTTCGTTCGAGTTAGAATCATGTGCGAACATAACTGATGGGGTGGCGAATGGTGAATGCTCGGTTCAATGGTATGGTGGACGTTCGAGATGAAATTAACACGAAGTTGAAGCTCTTGACGTACCTTGGTGAGAGCATATGGAGTGATGACACGACCGTCAACGTTGGTATTGAGAAGTCGCAGAATAAATTGAAAATTTGTCTTTTCTCCACTGACCAACGACATCTTGGAGAGATTTCGTGGTGTTGTTGTCGAGATGTTTGCGAGAAAATCAGATCGTGAAGATTTTGGAATTGGGGAAGTTCCAGTGGGTGGCTTGTCTAGTCTTGGCGCCTTAGCGGCAACTCATGTGATCTTTGTCAGGTGATTCGACCCTCAGAAAATTCCAAGGTTCCAGGTTGATGGAGAACTCTCTCCTTTTAGCGTAACTAAAGTCAAGCTATTTCATTGCCTTGTTTATTTCGAACAATGAAAATAATTTATCGAACTCCCTCAAATAATAGAAATAATTTTACTAGAATGTTCAATTATTTAAATTAAGTCTACTTATAGAATCTCTGCTACCTACCTACTTCTCGTGTGCACCAGGAGACTGTTCAAGTTGCCCACTGAAGTTACCGTAAGTACAACATCCAAAGAATGATGGAGTCTTTAGTGATGGAAACCTAATGCATATAATTGCAGCTCTATTGCGTCGCAGATGTGTACTTATAACTTTCTGATAAGTTTGGATGTATTCTGTCTGTAGAAGAACCATCCAGCTCCTGTGCTATTTGGATTTCTTTCAATACTCTTGTCATCAAAAAGTATAGACAACTTACCCGTTCTCAAAAGACATCTAAAGTGAACAGTATGTCTCATGTAATCTACTCAACATTACTTACTGGTTATTCCTCTCACAAGACCTTTCCTCAATCCATGAACTTTTATGCTGGTCTATTGATATGTTGCTTTCCGACTTTGAGCAACAATTGTGTAAAATTTCCATTCCGAAGTATAGACTTGATTTTGATTTCCACATGATTGTTATTAATACTCGGACCAACTCAAGACTTGTATGTTCTTAAGTTAAGAGGAATTGATTGGACCTCTGCTCTGGTACTAGAGTACATCGTTCATATGCAACATGTGCTTGGCGCTATCGTTATCTCCTTCCTGGGATCTATGCCTCAGGCCCAACATATGTTCTCAGACACAAAATTAAAACCTGTGGAAGATTCGAACTTTGGAGGAAAAACCCCAGAGTTTAGGGAGGAAATCTGGGCGATACCTATATTAGGGTAATGAAGCATATAATAGTTCACCTGTTTGTCATTCTCAAAGAGATCAGGTGCGCGCCGTAGGTACGACGCCTGGAAAAGAATAATTTGGAAATTTCAATGTGCGATGGTTCAATGGCCCGTGCTGACGCCAAGGAGTTAGCGAGCCCTACTTTCTCAAGATTTGAGCCTACGAACTTCTGAACCTCATTTCTACGACACAAACGACCATATCCAGTCGCAACAATGGTACGCTATTCGGCAAATGAGATCCATCCCACAAAGAGCGCTCGCTCGAGGGGGGCCTACCTCCGAGTGTCATTCAAGAACACTGTACGTTTGAATCTGCGTCTGCCGAGATGGGAACGCCTCAAAATTGGATTGAGAAAATACTGATGACGGGTGGAATTAGCGCGAGACCGCACAAGCAATCAACGGATGGAAGCTGCAACGCGCTGTTGCCTTCCTTGAGCATGTTAAGGAGAAGAAGGAGGCTGTTCCTATGAGACGTTATGCCGGTGGAACTGGACGAGCTGCACAGGGTACGATTCACGACACCACATAGATTGGGGGAAATATGGTCGCAGAGGCAGAGGCTAATGGGGGTTAATTGCAGGCAAACAATTCGGTGTCTCCCGCGCCAGATGGCCAGTCAAGTCCGCCGAGTTCCTTTTGGGTCTCCTCAAGAACGCCGAAGCCAACGCAGATACCAAGGGCCTCGATACCGGTAACTTGATCGTCAAGCACATCCAAGTCAACCAAGCACCAAAGCAACGCCGACGAACATACCGTGCCCACGGTCGTGTAAGGACATCCGATCACGAAGGTTAGAAGGAATTGTTCGCTGACAAGCTTTTAGATCAACCCATACATGTCCAACCCATGCCACATCGAGTTGATTTTGACTGAGGGAGAGGAGGTTGTTCAGAAGTCCGAGGCTGTTGAGGGTCGTGAGCCAGCACACTTGAGCTCAAGACAACGTGGTGCTCGTCAACGCGCTGCTATCACTGCTGCATAAATGGTTGTTTTTTATGGGTTGGGGCGCGAATGGGTTTCCTGATCACGGACGGTGTCAAATTGAAGACGCTTCTCTACGGGATGATTTGTACTTCGGTAGCTTATTTTGCGGGACACCAAGGAGAAAAATGATTCATTAAAGCACATACGAAGTTATGAGTGAGAATTTCATGTTCTTTTTTTTTTTCCTGCTTTGCGCCCACCAGGATGGTGAAGGTATGGGTCGCTACCAACTGTATTACAAGCCACTAATGACCCAATCCTGATTTTGCAATGAATGGATTAATTTCCCAGATATCTTGCTACTCGTCCCTTTCCTGCGTCCGAATAGTGATACGATTGACATCGTGCACTTCTGAGCAGGCTCTAGTTGCGATGCTTTGCCCAAGAAAAATCCCTCGCTCTGTGTCAGTAGATGAGTCTCCTTGAATAACCAAACCCGCAGGTAATAACCAATGGACCTCCTGGACTTGGATGCTACAAAGCTGCTCCTCAATCATCCTGCTACATATTCGAAGCTTGCTTCATTCAAGTGCCACTCATCTCGGTATTTGCCACTATGAATTGAGATATTCACTGCTAGAGGTCTAAGAGTCATGTTATAATAGCGAAGTCCATGCTGAGAGAAGTAGCCAAATCATAAAGGTACGCTCAATCATCTATACAAGACATATCTTCAGTTATCAGTCTCTAGTTTTCTTGAGCAAGACTTTATGGGGGGTCAATTTCTCTGTGTCGATAAGAGAACTGTTCCACATCTAATAATGTATCTTTGGGGAAGTGTGGTATTCTATTGCCTTAGCGGATCTTTGGAGTATTTCGGACAAATCGCGTCAGTTTGATTTCCTCTGCTAAATCTCACAGATCATAAAATAACGGAGGCGGGACGGGGAAGAGGGGTGGATAATCTTGCTCTCCCTATATTATGAATTTTCATGGTTTCAAAAAGATCTCAGCTGGCTATACTTCGTTTTCCTTCTAGACTTCTTCCTAGGCTTCCACGGTTCTGTATGGTTGGTAGCTGCATTGGCCGAGTGTCGATAGCGAAGAACGACGTTGAAGCGTAAATATGCCAAATATCCCTAGCCGTAGCAACGACTACCCTGCTAGAACCCTTTGAGTCTTTGGGCACTGACCGGTTGCTTTTAATTTCGATCTTGGGAACTTTGGATACTTATAAAGCATTCGATACTTCCTCCATATCTTTATCCTAGTGTTGAGGATCAAATTGAGAAAGTGTGCTGTACACGGTACACTTGCACATAAACTAGCAAGTATACGTCCTTTTTGCCTTCAGTTTCTATTGTCAGTATGTCTGAGGAGCGGTTTCCACCGCATAGAACAAGACCGAAAAGAGCCATTTAACAGTATTCCATCACGTACTACAACAAGTGCGAGGAGCTTATGCTAGGGCTATAAAACCCTATCTCCTGCCCAAGTTAGTTAGCTTGCCATTCATCTGAATAGAAATCTCTTTTCAATCACCCTAGCACTCTCGGTATTCCATATCCCCTTCAATAACTTCCATCTTGGGAAGTTTTATTGCTTCTAAGATATTGAATACTTTCTGTTTGAGAGCCTCCTCTGTGTTTGGGGAAACATATTGAGTTACGGTGAGATAAATTGGACACTTGGGGTTTGACTAAAAGGTTCCTTTTGCCAGGGGACCCTTTCATTATCTCAATACTAGCTTGATAACAATATGTCCATATTTCGTGTTTTACTGAAGAGAAAGATATTACGCGCCCTCGTCTGTTATCAGAATCGTTAGTAGATTTTGTTCCATCCCCTAGGGTGACTTACGATTACTCCGAGGCCTTAGAAATTGTGCTACTGTATAATCTGGGTGGGCTCGTTGCCTGATACCATAGCGAAGTCAAGTATCTCGCTCAATATAGTAGTAGCATATAATCCATTGAATTTCAACTACTCATACTGAATTGGAGGGTTAACTTATCCATATACCATAAACGATTAAACTGCCACCTGGTTAATCAATAACGATAGAACTGCTACTTATCTTCCACTAGTTGTTTGGTTGGTGTTTTCTATACAGATCTTGTGAAAACAATACTGGGTTCTAGAAGTACTTACTACTATATGCCACCGCCATATATTACCACTATGGCACCTAATAACATCGAGTTTGTATGCCCTTACTTATACACATAAGTCGTCCTGTTGCCTCGTAGGCTAGTAGGCAGGCATACCGAAGTCGAAGGGTCTGAGTGAGTTTGTATAAGAAATGCTGTTGGGAACTTGAACATAACGGGACTCCTTATGTTGTCTATGTTCAGTTGTTCCGCATTTTGTATGAGGAACTTGGTCGATGTGGGAGCGAGAGTATATTGCCCACCATGGTGTAGCACCTTAGGATAGAGCTACCACTTACCTGGCTATGAAATTGACATTACCTTACTCGTAATTCTGCCAATAAACTAGTCAAGTCCTACATAAGTTGTAGTTCTGTTATTAGTAATTTTTTCGGTGGTATTTTCGTCGTTTACTACATAAAGGGAGAGTGCTTTATTGATCCCCTTTGCTTAGAAGATGATGTTCTCCCAATTTATTGAAACAAAACACCAAAAAGGTCCTCTATACTACAGAAAAAGAAGTCTTCCCTAAGTACTGGTAAGAGACCTCGTCATTATTTCGCATACATCATCAAGAGTCGTTACGCCAAAAGTCTAGTACAAGCAGCTTTCAACATCGTTCGCTCAGTTGTCTCGGTTATGTGAGCCTCTCTATTACAACGTTGTTCTTAAATTGGTTGCACATAGAAATAACCAGGTCCCCTTACTCTCTTAATCCGGTTTTGGCTTTGGATGCAAAGCCAAAATTGGCAGCGGATTGCCTTGAATCAGCGGTATCTGTGGGAGGTTGTTGGTGGATGGAATGCGGGAACCCTAGGCTCATCACGATACTACATATGTTTTGTATACTATTGTGATCTTGATACCAGCAATCTATTCCTCATCTCACTTTTAGCACGTTCCCACCAAGGTACTTGATGAAATGAGTTATTCGGCTTTCAAGTGCCGCAAGTTCAATGCACAGAGATATCAGAAAGTCGTTACTATGGTCTAATTGATGGAGAGGTCACTTCAGGGTTTAACATAATAGATTGATATGCTCAAAAATTCGCGGTTTTTCAAGACAGTTTGAAGTAAATATTTCATAAATCTTAGGTTGATGGCTTTGATTAATCTAATTAGACTGAATGATAGGAGTATCAGGGTCTGTACTGTTGCCCATAATATTTACCGCAAGACATGCGTGTTATTTCTGCAAAAGTTGAATACGTTGTCGTGCCGCAGACAAGATAAGTGGTGACAATTTGATGCCGAAATTTTGTCTTTTCACCCTAAGTCAATAAAGGGAGCTGGGAATACAATGACGGATCTGAGGGCAATATTAGAATAATTCATGCCGCACCTGCCCAATTCTTTATATACTTTTTGATTTGTGGGGCGTCAAGCTGTGTGCGTTTAATTTATGCTTAATATTCGTGGACAGCTTATTTGCTGCCACTTGTTCTGCCTACGCGCTAATTGTATGCTGATTATGAACCTCAACTTACCTCGGGTAGAGATTCTGAGGGAAAGCTCCCGTCACAAGATTTTGGAGGTAGGTAGGGAGCATAGTGATGTTGTGTTTATGAAGGGGCTTAGCGAATCCGCTGAGTCCAATCCTGCTAAACTTCACACCGCCATGAGGACTTTTTGTCAACAACTCACCAAGCGCCAACTAGGATCTGGTTAAACTTGAGAGAGAGAGAGAAGGGAAATTACTTGAATCACTTGCACTTCTCGATTCTAGGCTTTTATTGTTCAATGTTCGGGGTGAAAGGCTTGTTCTCGGGTGAAAGTTCACTGAATTTTCTTACGCGAATCCGAAAACACTTCAAATCTTCTCAATTCTCCAACTTCCAACAACTGTTCTAAACCCACTCTTAGAAGAAGCTTAGTACTAGTATGCCTATCATTTTTGTGACGAAACCAAAACCAACATATGATTCTTTCAAAATCACAATTCATATTACCTAAATCACGTATCTCTATAAATTCCAAAAACTTCTTTCTTCATGAAAGCAAAAACATTAGGTAAGAGACTGGGTCATTACTTTGTTTACATCTAGCTTAGAATGGTATTATCCTAATACGGCATCCCGAATCTACTACTAAACCAGATGACTTAATCGTAAATCGCAAATCGTAAATCGCAAAAGTCATATATACTACTACCGTGCTAGAATGCCTATACCCCCACACCCCACGTACTTAAGATAAGGGCCTGATTATGTAAACACGCCACCTACTATCGCACCCTCACTGTCGCATGCTCACTGTCGTATGCTCACTGTCGCATGCTCACTGTCGTATCCTTACTACCCTTGCTGTCGCCTACCCTCGCTGTCGGATAGGGTTGTGCCCTAGTATTTTGTATGAGAGAGAGAGAGAGCGACAGAAGCGGGGAAATACTTTAGTTGTATGTCGCTTGTTCCCAGCCCCGGATACTACCTTCCTAAAACGGCTAGGCTAGCACGTGTTACGCTAACAATTGTTTGCTACCTACCTTTCCTCGCTCTCTCCCTCCTAGTTTCTCTTCTCTTTCTTTTCGACAGCCCTTTACGACAACCCTTTACAACTAATAAAGCTATAGGGATAGTAATAACAAGAAGGGATCGGGGGTATTTGTTTGCCGGGGGGTACGAGATGTAGGCGGAGGGTTATAACGAAACCTACGAAAGGGCTAGGGGGGAGGGTGGGGTATTTAGTTAGTACGTATAAGATACGTATAGAGCGGGGGCGGGGGTAAGAAGGGAGGGGGGAGAGAAAAGGGCGGTTCGAGTTAATTATTCGAGTTAAATTCAAGCTTATTTACTTATATCGAGTAGTTTTACCTTTAATTCTAGCGCTAGTATACAACCCTAACCCTAAGCTAGTTTACGATTTACGACGTGCGATTTTCTACAAATTAACCTTGAAATAGAGTATTTACGATTTGCGATTTACGATTAAGTCATCTGGTTTAGTAGTAGATTCGGGATGCCGTACCTAATGGACTCGCTCAACTTAAATAGTTTACAATAATTGTTACTTTTTTCTTTTCATCTAGCCATGTATACTATAGCAATTAAGTTACTTGTGCTAAACTTTTGGTATAAGAATATTTCCTAGCTTGTATAGAGTATTATCCACGTCTTTTACATTATGTAAATAACTTAGTATATTAGTGTATTACCCTACGAAACTTATTGAATCCACCCCCTCGCTTAATCACGTACAGCTACGCAAATAGATTTCTAGAAACATCCATTCTTTCCTATTGAAAGTCCACCGTGCCTTGTTAGTACTTTTATAAAATAGTGTCGCTTCAAGATTTTGCTATACGCCTTTAAATTCTAGCTGTAGTGACGGTGTATGCTTCTACCCACCGGACCTTTGGTGTGAAATGGTTGTAGAGTAAGTGATCACGACTCCTATTACAAATCCTAATGCCGGAGCCAACCGAAGCCTCGAAGAAACCCTCGAAGAGGGGAGAAAGAGAAAGAAATAATGAAGGAGTTCTGACTCAGAAACAACATAAAATCCTTTCTTCTCGGCATAGCATACAACTCGGGACGAGGAACTCTCAACAATCCAGCTTCGACCACTGATACTAATATCCGTAAACTAAGCTCCCAGAGACCATTTGGAAAACACACACCCCACCAAAGCATGCAAGGACCATAATCATCTTTAAACTTCCTCAACAGTTCGATATCCTTTCTCTCTAATTTCTTCATACCCACTTGGGACTTGAATATAACTTCCTTCTCCGGAATTATGTATTGTCACTGTACTCAGCTGCTTCTACCTCTGGCCAGCCCCTCCACCATCAACTGGCAAAACTCACTCTCACCAATCACATCCTCTTCACTTACCAACCCGTCTTCTCTGAGTGAGGCCACATGTACACATTATTACTTCCGTGGATTCTGAGAACAGTCGTCATGGATAGAGAACGCGTCGAAAAGTCACCTCAGTAGAAGCACGTGGAGCGAACAACGTCAGCAAAACACACCACGAGAGACTTACCTCATAACCATCATGGGGAGACACCAGGAACAGATTGGGAAAGGCGCACGTATCATTCGAAAAGCCGGTGTATCTCTAGAATCTCTCGCTCGACTTCTAGCCAGGCACCAGTCCCACTTAGAAAAAGCCGGCGCGTCACCGGGGTCTCTTAGCGAGGTCCCAACCCAGTGGGACTAGAGCTGTAGTCTCAAGGCACACTGCTGCTTATTTTCACCCCATTACTTCACTCTTAGTACCAGAGATCTCCTCTTAACTCATTCTCTGAAGTCTTTTAGGGATACAAAACAGAATTCTCTTGGTTGTCATGAAAACAATGAGCGTCCATCAGCAGATATACCTACTCTTACTCATTTACGAATTCCTGCAGGACTAAACTAGTTTCCCCAGCCCTACAGACCCGCCCCCGCTCCCCCACAAACTCTAAATGAACGTCAATTCTTAATCATGTGGCCTGAGGCCCGTGACACACCAGCTAAAATAACGTTGATACGCAGAGTACGTAAGCTTGCCCTCTAACGTCCCAAGACTGGCTTCTATGATGAAAAGTACTCTGTCACTACTGACTTGACGGTTTGACAGAAAAAGTATAATTTAGAGCCAATACCATGATGCCATCTCCCTAGACCTACAACCAAAACTAACTCCTATTTGGAACTTTCAGGTGAAATAATCATAGGATATTCTTAGATGAAAGACTAAAAGTAGAGCTTTTCAACCCCTCATAATCAGTACTAAGTAATCACCGACTAACAAGAATACTACTAGCGGTCTAATACCCATGTAACTAGCACCATTAGATTTACCCAAGACCCTCGCTTAATCTAACGTAGCTGGAAAACTTTTCATGATTATTGGATTTACTTTCATAATTACGCTAGCCAAAGGAGGGAAAATCCCTCTTATTAATCGCTAACAAATCTCCAGACCTATCCTGGTTACCCCCAAACCATTTTATGTAAAGTAATATTCCACTTACTACATACTCCCCAATTCTGGTTGTTATGACATAAAGTGTCCCCCCAGCGCTGTACGCTTGACACAAAGACCAAAACATCGCCTCAACGCCGTTCTCCCCTACGAACGAAAACTAAATTAGTAACCCCTTTACTTTTCCCACGTGAAACAATCACGAGATCACAAGCGAAAGAATCGACATTTGTCGTAATTCGAACCACATAATTACAAATCACCACTAACCCTTTTGCAACAAAGCCACCAAGTCTAAGTAACCAACGATCAAACCCGCGAATAACCATCTACAGTACTTCTTTCCCATGTGACAAACGCCTCAGACCTAACCTCTTCAAACTACACAAATTAGGTAGAATCCAGAAAGTGCTCGACGTAGTCCATAAACAAAGAAAAGGAGCCCTGCTATTACCTTTTCCTATCGTTGTCCCAGGCCGAATCTCCAGTAAAAAGCCACAAGCAAAGACACCAATACCAATAGCGTAAGAAGGAGTTACTTCACTACTCACTCATATGTAACCGATTTATGATATCGTTTCGTTGAGTGGGTTGTTCAATTACAGAGTACTCGAGTAAAGGAGAGTAGTGAGTGGCCTAGACTACGTAAGCACCACTAAGTACTAGTAGCACAACCAAGTAATAAAAACTTGCTATATCAGGCCCAGCTCAATCCAAGAATTCGGACAGCGAGGCCGGGATGTTCGGCGGTGGTACGGGAACTATGGCCGACTTGTACCGTACTACTCAAGTAGTACTCAACAGTACTCAGGTACTTCGTGAGTAGATCAAAGCAATTTCAAAAAGCCCTTAACAAGAGTAGAATACAAGCCACTCCTCTCCTTCAATCAATCATCTTCGCAATCCTATTAGACACCAACCCTCCACCTAGAATACCCGTAGGGACAAGAGAATTTAGACAGCACCGCACCATCCCATAACCTCATAATCAAATGCCAGCACCACCAAGATACCTCGCTCACCTCGCTCACCTCAATACGAAATAGGAGACACAACGCGCTTTTACACCACCACCTGACCTAACTCAACTTGCAACAAACTACGAGTAGTTACATTACAAGCCAAACTAGGTACGGTACCAATTAGCTAGACAGACACCCCAAAAAGCTGAGGTGCATTAGAGTAGCTGTCATCGGAAGACTAGGCTAGCAGAGCACCGTCTAGCCACTAAGCTACAAGTTCAGTGCGCCTATAGAATAGCCGTGTGCCTACTCATTTAGCACGGGGAGTTTATACAGAATGCGGGATAACGCAAGGGCTATCCCTTGAGTCTGGCCATTCATTATAAGGTAATGTACCATGGTATCAACATCAACATGACCCTGACACACCAAGTCGTCATAAGATCTTCACAAGCAAAAAAGACATACAATTATACCATCACCGCTTAACAGGAATTAATTACTAATACTAACGCAACCCTAAAGTCGCAAGGCTCGCTTTTCCGCATGCAATATCAAGTTCTGTACACTATACAATTGCACTCCCGCTCAAGTCCCCAAAGAGCAAGACTACGTGAAGAACGGTAAAATCCCCAAGAAAAGAGAACCCTACGAAATTGCTACTTTGAGACAAAGTCCAATCAATGCATTCCATCGCTTGAAAAGAGATAGACAACGCTCATAGTCGGCCAATGTCTCGTATCCCCCCATCCATGCCCTTTCCCGCGCTATGCTTTTACAGTGAAGACAGAAAAGAAAAACCAGTCGATAAACCCGACCAAAGTGAAAATACAGCTCGAAAGGAAGAACAGACGCCGAAATAGATCTACAGTCGCGAATGTCGTCTGGGTCCAAGTACTTGATCTGTTCTAGATAGTCAGGGTGACTTGGCGACGAGGTATAGTATCAACAGGGGATTCAGCGACTTCAATCAGCCCATCAAATCTTCCCCGTCCCGCGTGAGCAAGTCCATCAATCCTAGCCTCCGTAGCCAATTGGCTTCTTGATGCTGACCAACCGACAGTCATATCCCATGCATTACGAAGAGTAGCGCTTTCCATAGCCGACATACGATTGACAACTATTGCAAGTGTATGATCGTCTGTCTTCATCATATAGGCTGCCATTTCTGAGGCTCTTCTGGCGGAGAGATTTGGAAGAGTGGTGCCATCAGGATCGATCACGGATTGATCGTAATCAAGAGGAAGACGTGCGTAACCACAAGATATGAATTCTAGCTTTGTAAGTCTTGTCAATGGACGAGGTGTTGGTTCAGGCCCAATATCATTACGGTATTGAATGTGCGAAAGGTTGATTCCAGGTGTAAGAGCATCAATAATTTGAGCCCAAGAATCAGGTCGAACATTGAGCCATTCTAAGCCCGCTGGATCCGGATCAGGGTTCGCAGGAGGCTGGCCTGCCACTGCAGCTTGAATTTGCTGAACAACTTGTTGTATTTGTTGTGGGCCGTGGTGAGGTCCTAGAGCAGCCATCGCGCCTTGCAAATGGGCAGCATTGGCGATAAGGTTTTGTTGATGAGCCTGAGGCATAAGTTGATTGAATACATTGGGACCCTGCACATGAGCCTGCACTGGAGGATGTGGATGCTGGTTTGCATTTTGCGCGAGTGCTACTGGTTGTGTGTTTGCAGGAACAGGTGCAGTCAAAGAGACAGAGTCAAATTTGAAACTTTTCAGATTTGCAGCTCTCAAATATGAGCCAAATCTATTCAAGACGTGAGGGGAAATCCAACAATTTTTCAAAGACAAAGTCTTTACATGAGGCAGAGTCAAAACCCTCGTAACATGAGCTCTGTTGATCATGTCAAGAGCTTTGGGGACTAAAGGTGCTGCGAGAATATGCTGATTACGCGAAAACATACCGGGCGCGTATTCACCACCGCAGAGCCACTCGAAATGAAGTGAGGTGATATTTGGTCGATGAGAGATTTGATCTTGTAGGATTTGATATGCGCCAGAAACAGATTTAGAAGGCTGAAGCAAATTATCCTGAACAAAGCTTGTTGGGAGTTTGACCACTTCTCGCCAATCTGGAATCACTGCCAGGGAGAGGGTATTAAGAGACGGCAAACTGTCCCAGAAATCCTCACGTCGAAGAATGGTTAGATGTCGACTTGGAATGCGTGCAATATTGAGTTCGGTAACTTTGCTGAATGTCAAAGGGTTGTCGATGACGGCAATGGCATATGACTGCATGAATGCACATTGGGCCCATTCAGTCTCGAGCAGCATCTCTCTTTGTGCGCTGGTGAGCTCGTTTGGCTTCAAGGGGTAGTTGTCGACTTTTGTTCTAGTGCCATTAGCGTAAGCAAAGAATGGGTTTATGTCCATCTCTGCTTCCTCTTCGCTTCTATCGTCGTCGCCATCAGAATTGGTAGCCACCAAAGGATTAGGTGATTGATTATCCTGCATTGCCCAAGGGTCGGCGATTCTGAGTCCACGTCGTCGTCGAAGACCAAGACCTGTATGTGCGAGGGGCGCGAAAACTTGGTCGGGAGAGTCATGGGGATCCGGAGTGGCAGTTGATGATGTATCTTCAGACTCAAGCATCATACGAACTGACGCCTCCAAATTATCCCCACCATACCCCGCTTCCTGCAGCATTCGCTCAAAAGCTGCATATAGACTGCTATTTCGTGGGACAAGCAAGGCTGAATCCGATGCCCTCGCGCCTTTAGCTCTTTTTGGGGTATTCTTTCGAGGCTCTGGCACGAAATTCGACTCCCCAAACACAACCGGCTTCTCTCCTCTCTCAAGTACTTTATAATTTGTATCGGGCCCAGCAAGCCATCCCAGACCACCGTCGATCGACAATCCGAACACTCTGGCTTCTGAAATGCATCTTAGAGCTTTAGCCATTGATCTGGTTTCATCGGCTGTCTGCTCCAATCCCTCAAGCTGAGTGTATCTATTGTATTTCTTGTATGGCCAGCGGTAAATTCCCCAAAATGATGTAATGGCTTCTTGGTCGCTTTTGAGAGGCGGATTGGCCAGTTTCTCTTCATCAAACTCGAAACTCATGGCAAATTTGCGAATACGCTTCCCAAAACTATTCATCCACATGTTAGTCCAAGGCATAAAACTAAAATTTGATGATATGGGGAGGTTGAACGAACCCTTCAAAGACTCTCATCCCTTTATCCTGTAGCATTACGGATCCCATGCGCTCGGTGACTCTGGGGTCGGATGCTCCAGATATCCCATATATCTCAGGCTTGAATGGCACAACTACAACCCTGAATAAATATTCCGACACCTTTTCTTCAAATTCGTGGTTGACAAGGCGCATGTTTTGGACAGCCGATCGTGGAAGATAATTGATAATCAAGTTGAAAATCTCCACAGGAAGTGCTTTCTCAGGCCATGATACTAATGATGCGATTGTTAGAGACACATTGTGGGAACATATGCGAAATAGTGATTGAGAACATACCAGTTTTGGATCGGACTACAAAGGCGCCCCTCGTTTTCCGCTTTTTGGATGGTGTCGAATCGGACATACTGGCTGATGATTTCCTCATCACGAAAAAGGAGTTGAGATGGCAGTCTCAGACGATGCAGCGTTGCAATGAAATGGTTCCGACGTGCGCTGCTATGATCAAGGCTGGCGAGTACAAGCACCACCTCGTGGGGCTAGCATTCAACCGGTTTGCAGGTGATGGATGAATGGCGGTTCGATTGTTCGGCTGCAGTTTTTTGGTAGATTCCGAGCTCAAATAGATGCGCTATGTGCTATGCGAGGGGTGCGGAGCATGCGAAGTCGGTCAAGACTCCCGTGAATGGCAGCGAGGTCAATCTGGAGGTGGTGTAGAGGGGCTTGGATTTTGGTAGAGATGCTCTATGTGTATGGGATGTGGGGTTGTGTTGTTTGCGCGCACCGACCACTTTTTAGTTCGTCGCCAGAGCCTTGCGGGAGCTTACAGTCTCAGCCTCGACCAAAGCCCGGCATACCACCAGATACTGTCGACCAGGAGACGGTACAACAACCCTTGATTTCCCAAAGTTTTATAATAATGCGTCATATCAAAACTTTATCTTGAAAGATTTCTTACCTTTTGGCGACCTTTACCAAGTTAATACGCCTTCTACAGTGCATCATTATTTCCGCTTAATTAGTTATTTCCGGCCTTTGGTGGACAAGAAAAGTGGCAGAGATCTCTTTTATCTTATTCTAACTTGACTAAAAACTATTATATTATATGATTTATTAGAATAATTAAAACAATTTACCTAAACCCATAGAATAATAAAGGCAATTGGTCTAGATATTCTAACCATATTAGTACTTAGAATCAACTTACGCTAATAGTTAAAAAATAAATCTGTCCACCGGAAGCCGGCCAACTAAAAGACTAAAATAACGCGGTCATGATATATTTAGGTGTATTTATAGAAACGGCCATTCCTCTTACAATTACAGGTCTCCGTATAAAGGGGAAGCGAAAACTCGCTTACTACTCTAGCCAAATCTTTCTAGCTACCTAGGGAGTGATGATACATAGGTTATGTCGTCACGGTCCACAAAAAACACCAGAAACTACAGCAGTCATCAATTAAAAAAATGACGAGAAAAATCTCTTGCTTTTAATTATCTTTAGTGATAGCACATGATGTCCTCCAGGGCACAGAACTGAGCATTCCAACGAACCCGCCGGCGGCCGTAGCAATATCGCCAGATCAATTTATGATCAACCCATCCCGGTAAAAAGTGACACCCGCGCCATCCATATCTGATGCATCCATCCCAATGCAAAGTGAGAAAATGTAGGAAATTAAGAGATCAAACTGGAGCTTTTGTCTTAACTAATGGTATCCGCGCGAAGAATCAAAGAGCAAAGGGAAAAAAATACATGTAAAGATAATAGGCAAGAAAAAGAGCGTCGTAAAACATTGATCTCGTGAGTGGCCGATGAAGTGGGGAGCTTATAGCTCATTCTTGACCTCCATCAACTTTTCCAGATCCTCTCCAGTGAGATCATCCGAAATCCATGGACCCCTTTCCTCTTCGGTGGAGTTGTGGAAGGCATCCGCACGTCGCATCGTCTGGACATCTAGGTCCGTGACGTAGGCCCTCCCATCAGCTAGTTTCATTCGAACCTCGTAATCAGTGTCAAGCATCATATCGTCCTTCCAGAGACGGCGAGATCCATCAAATACACACATGACACGCTTCTTCAGCTTCATCTGGGAAGTTGGACAACCCCACGACGAGGGGTAGTTCTTGCGCTTCTTGCGGCCCTTGGTGTTCAATGTGACTCCTCCTTTGGAGTGAGTGAGTCCCCGGGACTTTTGTACACCGTTGGCGGGGTTTCGGTTTCCGCGTCCTCTGCGGGAAGATCTAGATCGTAGCGTAAAGTCGTCGTCGTTCTCATCATCGTAGTCTTCATCGTTCTCGTCCTCCTCGGGCGAATAGGCATTGGTCATCGTTGGCAATTGATTGTTGAGTAAGGTGTCATGAACATTCTGATCTTGTTCAACTTCGGCCAGACGAGCAGCATTGATGGCCTCGGATGGCTCTTCTTGCTGGACTTGTCGGAGAACGCAGTCGTCGAGATGCTCATAGAAGTCTTGTGCGTTGCTGAAGGTAGCCGAGCAGGTAGAGCACTTACCAGTGGCATCTGGTGCATACCCGGAGAGCTTCTTGCCGCTATTGAGGCTTCCCGAGGTCTTCTTCCGGCTGTTGGGTGGGGTTTGCTCAACAGCATGAACGGAAGTAAGATGCCTTTTGAAAACATCCGCGCGGTTGAACGACTTCTCCGCCGCAGAGCCTGACCCAGGACAGAAGCCACATACCATGGTCCCTTTGTAATGGGTCAAGGTATGTCTGTTTTTGTCATATTTCCTCGCAAATCCCTTGATGTGGTAGTCGCAGGTCTGAATTGGGCACTTTTCCGGTCGCTCATTCTGATGCGTCAACATGTGCGCCTTGAGATCCTTGAAGACCTTGCCGCATTCTGGGTAGGTGCATCGTCCCTTCTCCTTCGCATCCTCACCACTGTAGTTGCCATCCTGGCTGCTGCACGATCGTCGCGATCCAGTAGAAGGCTGGTGGGGTGTTTGGTAAGGGTAGGTGTAGCCCGACATGTAGGGAGACTGGCTGCCCTGTTCCCCAGTTTGTTCTGGTGACAATGCAGGCGAGACTGGATATGTGGTTTGTGGATAAGCATCGTGGGATTGCGTGGTTGAGGCTGGGCGAGTGGAGTATTGGGGGTGGAGAATGGAAGGGTCTGGAGATGACATGTTAGCGCGCTTTTCTGGCTGATTGTATCCAAGCGATACGACGATGCGAATGACAGAGGAAAAACCAACAGGAAGATTGCAAAGGAGGCACAAAGTTGCCGCTAGACTGAGGAAAGAAATGAGATTGACGATAAGTCGGCGTGGTGTTCGGAGAGAATACTTGTGGTGCGGGTGCAGGTGCAGATACAGCAGAGTCGGGAGAACAGGGATTCATCAGCCGACCAGCGGACGTGAAAGCTTGTGACGGTGATGGCCACCGCGATGAAGGAGAAGCAGTTGAGAATGCAGACACAGGAGATTTGAAGCAGTCATCCACATAGCCTTTTATACTCGCACTCACACTCGCACTGACCGGAGTGAGGGGCGAAGCCATGCTGGAGGACGCAACCCGTGCGTGCGAAGGGGAAAAGGTGGACATAGAAAGAGAAGTTGAAGGAGAATCTGACGATGCAGAACCACGCTGATATGAGGTAGATCTAGAAATGTTCTGGCACTCACCAACAAACCCATTTGGTTTGACTGTATTGAAGCTCAAATCAAATTCTTCCATACCTGGAGTAGCGAATGAGTATTCATTGCCCGTGGGATAGTTGTCGTATCCGACGCCAACGATGGACGGCGTGAGACCGAGTCCACCTGGCGTTGACCATTCTGGCACTGGCACAATGTGCCCCTGTATCGAGTGTGGAGACCCCATTGCGGAGGAGTTGGCCGAGGGACCTGAAGCCGTCGAGTAGTTCGATGGAGCTCCTCTCAATTCTGGTGACTCCAGGTATTGTGATGGTGCATCCGTAGCATACATGGTTGCCGTCTGAAAGCCGGTGCTTGCTGGGAAACCGTTGTACATTTTTGGGTACGGATATGGCGTATTGTCCGTGTCGAAAGGTTGTCCAGTAAATGGAAATCCTTGAGATGAGAAGATCTGTGGGTCTGGGTATAGAGGAAAGTCTGCTTGGTTGTTGTCGTTGAGTGAATGTAGTGCGTTGTATGTATGGGAGGCTAATGATACCATATTGGTGCAGATTGGGGCTCGGAGCTGATGTTGATGCTCGTCTATTGTTGACTATCAAACGGCCAGCGACGAGATCTGTTGACGAGGTCTTGTTGATTTGCTTCTGTTGCGCCTCTTGAGGTAGCTCGAGGGTGTCGAGAGAGAGAGAGTGGTCAAGGAAGGATAAAGGAAGGATACCTTGACACTCAAGCCACGGGTCGACGACTGACTTGTATGAATGGTTGGTTGGCGTGGTTTGGACGTGGGGAAGTGAAGCTCAGGCTCAAGTAGGGTGATGTTGATTCTTCTTCGGCCTGAGACAACTCAGTAGGGAAGCCACTTTGAAGGTGGTGGCATATATAAGTAGAGAAAGAGGTTGGAGATGTTGCTGAGCACTGATATTACTTTTTTCGGTCGACGAAGTAAGATTAAGCACAATGCGGTAAGACGAAGTTGTTGCTGATCGATGCCTTGTTCTTGCCAAGGCCTTGAGCAGATCCGGGAGGCTTTTTGATATTGGATGGGGATGGGGTTGACGGGAGTCGAGGTGTGTGAGGTCTGTCTCTGTCTTTGGCTTTGGCTCTGTCGCTCTCTCTGGAATCGGGGTACTGGCTGGGATTATTATAATATTGGTATTGGTCCTTCGACCGGGAGTCTTTCGAGACCGACAAGCTTGATTTGAACAAGAAAATGCGCAGTCGGGCATGGCAAGGGTAGGGGGAGCAGGGACCAGCAGGGGCAATGTATATATATCCACCGTGATTCCCAGGATGTGAGCATCAGCGGGGATGGGGGCCGCGAGCGCCGTCTAGACTGCCACTACTGTACATCACTACTTTTGCCAGGGGCCTAGGCATTGCATCGTATTGAGATACCCCGGTCTGCACCGAAAAAAGAAAGTTCAAGAACTCGCTCGCTACCGTACCAATAAGCTTTGTACGGTATGTGTACATAGGCCCCTCTCAGTGGAGCGAGTTACTGAGTGCTGCGAGTGGCTTGTGACATTCGAGAAGTTACAACCTTTCGAGGCAGCTCTAACGTATTACATCCGAAGACGCTTCACGAGAATATGATGCGAATAACTCCATAAGCTAGTCACCTTCGGTACTAAGGCACCAAGCCGGAGGGGGCCGTAGCTAATTCATAGAGTCGGAAGCTAGTCCACAACTAGAACCAAAAAGGGGATTGATTACGTTTACGATCTTTGATTCATTACTAGCTCGTTGTAGCCAGTTGAATAATTATGTGGTTAAATAGCCAAGTACTTAAAGGGCCACTTACCTCCATGACCGTGGTGGGTGGCATAGTGGTGTGTATGTAGTCGAGGTGGGAGAACTTTACGATACTTAGCAGCGAGACCAGCTTGCAACTACCCATCGTGGCGCGATCATATGAATACAGTCAACCCCGCAGTCTTCACGCTGTTGACAAGTTGCCTGTGGCTTGGACGACACTGCTCTCCGTTCACCTGCTCCATAATTTCGAATGCTCACCGTGGAGGCCTTTCAACCCCAATGCCCTCAAGCTTCCCTTCCGCAGTACCCGTGCATCGCCGCAGGCACCAAGAAACACAGCCTTACCCGCTTGGGATATCCAGCATCGATTGTTTGGCTGGGACTCGCCCAGAATGCACTTTGGCCAGGGTGGATCAGGTGGTCAGACAGGGGCGTCCTGCATGCCCAGGACAATTTGGTATCGCCGTGTCCGTTCGTGTCGGTCAGAAAGGCGGAGGGCAGAGCAAGAGGGTACGGTCGGCCTTCGTACAGTACCTTCATAACCGACATGACAATACACCCTTACTTGCTTCAGACGACGAATTCATCAATTTGAGGAGCCAGTGTTGGCCATCCATGGCCACCTGGAACGGCGGTCATCCCGCGGGGGTGATAATGAAGATTTATGACAGGTCCCACTCGAGATTTTCCAACACCACCAACTTTGAACATTGTCTCGACAATTTTGGGAACCATTAGAAAATCTCGTCATCCTTCCCGCCAATAGATGAAGCCACCCTGGCTCACCAGAAATATGGATTCGCTTCGGGAGGGCAGTTGTAGATCTCATTGCCTTAATTGGCCAAGTGGTCGATCTAAATTCCGGCCGGGGAACTTTTAAAGTTGCCCCCTGTTTTTCGCTCGAGTGCTGAGACAGCTCAGTGGTGGGATTCGCTAGTGGTAGACCAGAGCTTATTTTGAGGATATCAGGGGAAAGTCTGTCGATAGATCAGTTCATCTCGCGTTAGTGACACTGAATACGTAGTTTGCAACAACATACCAAGTATCGTGCCAACTTCCCCCTCACCTTGCCGAGATTCTAGTTCAGGCGGGGGTTCGTGATGGTGAGCGAATGGAGCTTGAGCGTCGTGACGAGACTCGGTGTTGGTGATTCACCATCTCATCTCCATATGGTACCCTTCCCATCTACAATTGGACCTCTTTCGTTATTGATCCGAGGCATGTCAGTCGGCTCGTTGCCTAGATGCACGATACCGTCACAAATGGAGACACAGGACATCTCAAAGCGGTGGGCGTGTCTCCGCTGGTACCTCGGTGACTGGCGGCTCTTGACAGGTCTGGCTGGACTGGCTGGAGGGGAGGGTTCCATGGGGGGCAGACTTTTGAGTATGTAATCAGATCCCACGATGCAGTGGTCATGCTTGTGCATGCTTGTGCATGCTTGTGCTGTTGCGAAGACTTCACCGAAGTCCCAGATGTAGAAAAGCAGCAGGCATTGTCGAAGCGATTGGCTGAGGTACGAACAGGTTACGCCAACCAATACGCACGAGCCATAAGGCAGTTCCCAAAAATAACTGTGTCTGTGTGCTCCCCCTCCCCTCCCATACCTTGCTCCACTCCACCCCAATGCCCCACATGGTCGGCATATGAACTTTATGTGAAAGTCTTTTGGTGTTTCTGCAGGGACTGCGCAGAGTGGCTGTGCCACTTCTTCTCGCGGTCTCACCTCCATTATTTGCTTCACCACCCGCCGATGACCCAAATATCGTGGCAACAGGCATTTGCTCCCTTCGCTTCTTTAGACTTCCGTCCGTCACCGATGTTCCGATATTGAAAGAAAGGAAGAAAAACATGCGTCATAATAATCCTAAAACCGGTCGAATGTGTCAATATAAATCCGATGTGTCATCCAAGTCACTTTCCCCTGTCCATTCAACCAACTGCTGTTGTTGACTTGGAAGAGAGAGTGCTCTTATTCAGACAGGCGGGAATGGGAAGACCCATGCTGAGTGCGCAAGGCAGCTTGTATGTTTCCAAGTTGTTTGAAGAATCTAACTCGTCAAAATCCGATGATTGTGATGGATGTGATGTTCATTCAACCGGAAAACCCCTGACCCCTCCTTGGTGTTGTTGATTTGGGGGCCGCCAACCATTCTCCAGAGTGTCCCCTCCTTCCCGGGGAGCATTGATTGGGTTTTGGCGATTGGGGCAGTCCTTCGTTCCCGTTCGTTCCCCTATCACCTTTAGCCATGGACCCTTGGTCTATGCATCCTACCGGATATGAACAACTTTCGCTTCAGCCTTATGAAATGGAAAGCTCTCATAATTGGACTGCAATCACTAATTGCAGTATCACCGGGTTCGATCTTGGCGTCAGAAGCTTATACAGAAACGTGGACTTCCTGTCGAATGAGTGGCTGGACGGGTATCTTTTCAAACGAAGGAGCGTTGGAGATACTATTCTCGGAAAGTATTGCTGGCCATGCCAAATGAAGCCACCCATGCTTTCCAATCCGGAGAAAGGAATTGTTATCAATGGCTCTAACCCTAGAAGGCCCGGCCCTCCCAATGGATTTTCGTATCAGGAAAGTAGAAATCTGCACCAGCCGGTATGAGGCTCATGTGATGGGTTGGTCGATCGAACAGAAAATGCGAGAAGCGAGATCGATATTCTCGCTAGATAAACCCGTCGATGGTACGTTCTCTGTACAAAGTACCAAGAATAGAAACCCCAATCAAAGTTCCGATAGTCTACATGCAGATTCTGGGGAGATTTGCCGCCAGTAGCCTACACAACGAGTACAGTATAGAATGCTCAGAACCCAAATTGACATTACAAAGCTTGAACGCGATGATATCTTGGGACTGAGCCACAGGTCAAGTCCAGTCAATCAGGATGCGAACCGGGCGAGCTCGAGACCTAGGAAAGGGGTAGTCTTGAAACACAAGTTAATATGGTTGCACAGCGCTTCATATCGTGGTGAGCATGTGCATTGAGCATCGAGACCTCGTGGCTCAAGGAAGATACCCTGTCGACCAAGACTGTAGTCCCTCCTGTTGGGTTGGGCCTACTCGCTTCCAGAATAACCCTTGTTTGTCAGTACAGTCTAGGGCTCAAGGTGGTAGCTTACCGAATCTTCTTACTGGCTAAAGTGCCTGGTATTGTGCTCTCGGGCTCGCCGCCGTGGTGCAGAAGTGATCGTCTGTGGGCTTCAATGACCCCTACTCCAACCCGGTCGAAAAGGTGCTTGGCTCTACAATAGCCACCGCCAATTGTAATGCAATCGTTCCGTAGCCAGTCAGTATCGAATAATTACTGTAGGGCAGAGAGGATTACCCCGTAAATGAAGTCAAACAAAAATCTTTGACATTGATGACTGCATGTGAGCATACCATCTCGATTGAGTTAAACTATGGCGCCAAATGCAAAGCTTCGTAGATGTTGAGAGGAGATTTCCACGAGTGCCAAAGTTGCAGAATATTGTATTCCATGTTGCAACGTTTCAAAGACGTTTGCGAAAGCAAAAGACTCGTAGGTAGTATGCATATCGTCGGAGCATCAAGCCTGACAACGATGGCAATGGTCACTCCCTCTCAAAGAATCATATCCCTTAATTTTGGTGGCACCATACGACCGTTGAAATTTCTACAACGGAGTAGGTTCTAGTGCCACATATTCCATAGGTAGTGTTGCAATGCTTTTGGAGAAATCCGAAAATAACTTCAGTAAGAGACGTGGTCCTGACTCTGTATACATCTCTCTTAGAATAAAATTATTCTAGAAGCGTCGCACAACTACGTAAATTAAATTTATAAAGAGTTTACTCTAAAATAATTGTTAACTCTTACCTTTCTTTCACTAGCCTAGGTATCCTAATACAATTATTTTGCTTGTACTACAAGTTTTGTATACAGCGTAGTGTATATAGAGTAACGACCAGGTATCTTATGCATCTCTCTTAGAATAAAATTGGTCTAAAAGCGTCGTATAGCTAAAATAGTTCTATTGTCGGTTTAGAACAATTGTTACTGCTTACATTCAATTAGCCTAGGTATAATAATACGATTATTTTAATTCTACTGGAAGTTTTGAATAATAGCTTCTTATGTAATATGTAAAGAGTAATGACCAGATATCTTACGTCGTCTTTAATGGATAGGCAGTCGTCCTAGCAACTTGTACGGAGTAGCAGTTTTCCGATAACGTGCTTCAAAAGGGAAAAATCCTCTAGCTCCATCTGCGGATGCCCAATGCCACCAATTGAAGTAAAAAGGATATGTCGATGGGATGTTCCGGATAAGAAGGGGTTCACATGGGTGAAAGGAATAATGTCACCCCTGGCAGCGTGCCTCATTTATTGTCCGATTTCATTTGCCCGAACATGGGAAGATGTCCCAATCGACTGGACCACCTTAGCCGTGCGTGCAGACAACCCTGCTACCCTCGTGTCGTAACTTGCACACAATGTTTATTTTTGGACCTTGATATTTATGTTGGCCGTACTCGTACTCCGATCCCAATCTTCAATCTTCCTTGAGGCTCTTTATGATCGATATCAACTCATGTACTCTGTAAAGATCGTCGAATACTGTCGTAAAAGTACCCGATCAAAAACCAGCCGTCCTATCCAAGCTCTGTAATCCGTATTTCCACGTTGCTGATTATCGTTTCAAGTCAGAACAAGAAGTGACCATTAGCGTGGTGGGGGTTGTCGCCCAAGCACAATTGAGTTTGAGACCCCCACATTATGATCGTCCGATATATACTATCTCCCAGAATCTTGGGCAGCAGAGCCACAAGGTTCATCCACGAAGTATCCAACTTAGCCAAGGTCTTCAAAGTAAATTGCTTCCTTCCTGTGCCGAATTTCATTTCATGACATCTCTTGTCTCCGTGTTGTCGATTTTATTAGGTTGTCTGCACGAGAGTTGGATTGGTATTGGCGGGTATGCAAGGCCCAAGAATCCTCCAATAATAGCAACCATGAGGATGATAGATTAACTTGTTCTAGGGGAGCCACGTGTGTCGCACAACTACGATACTCCTCAGGACATTTTCCAGGATAGGGTGAGGTCGGCGACTTGGTTCTTTCATGTATGGCAGTTGTGCTACCAGTCTAAGACAAAAATGTGGCGAAAAAGTTCGGTATTGCCCTTCTACTTTGATAGGTTCAAGTCCCGGTGCTAGGCCAAAGGGTTCTTTCTGCGGGCGGCTCATGGCAGTGAGCATCTTCATCCCCGCCCTCGGTCGTCAAAAATACCGCGCCATAACCTTATCTCTGATCTGTGAGCTCCTACGCCTTGTCTTGGAGTTCTGATGTGTCCTTGGTTTTGGGAATGATTACAAAGCCTCATTGGACCGGCTCATAATCCTGGTCCTTGAAATTACCACTCCTAAAAAGAAACTATTAAGCGAATGCAGCTGTTTATGGGGATGGCGCAGGAGTATGTCCCACACGGGGCGTTGCATGGCCTCACATAGTGCCACTCCGTTCCAAGCACACGGTCGTGGGCTTTAGTTGACCATCTCTAGAAGTTTCCGTTGTAATATGCGGTGTTGTGTAACGAACGTGGTGTAGCTATATTCTGAGATGTAAGACGGAACAGATAGAACAGAAGGGAAATAATCCAAAAATTGTCTTGAGGTCGTAAGACAGCTCATAGGAGTGGTACAAGCCTATTCCCTACCGAGGACCCCTGTTCAATACTTTTTGGCAGGTTATAGTCTCCGCATTCGTGGCTTTTCAAGATCGTGGCTCATTCCTAAAAAGGAATTCATGGTATATTAGCCACCTAGCAAGTGTGGGTATTTGAGAATATTCACCAATGACCCAGCATCGTCTGGACGAGGAAGTAGCTTCGTTAATGGCTTGTCAGATTGATATGCTGTTGCCTGGGATCGGTAGGTCGCGGTGGGGTGTAAATCTTGCATTAGTCCATGATTCTGTCCCTCAAAGAAAACGAACTTCCAACGAAGGTAATGTCCTCGTACAAGATGCTTTGCCCAACCAGAGATTGAGTTGCCGACTTGCAAGCTCTGTGCTAAACAAGGCCCTCGTCGTCCCCCTCCAGACGATCAATGCAACCATGCAAACACATTGCACAGCAGAAGGAATAGAGGAGGCATTCATGCTTTGCTGCTACCCAATGACGCCGCCGTTTCTGAGTCGATTTTTGTAGGTTTACACTTCATGATCATCATATATGAAGTCACAGAGCAACCGCATCGATAATCCTACCACACGATATCCGAGAAAAAATCGATCATGTAAGACCTGAACAAATGTGGCCTGAAAAAGAGGAGAGGAAGAAACGCGGTCATTACTCTGACCACACTTAGGTCAAAATAATATATTATTCTAAAAGCCTCGTACAACTACGATAGTTATACGAGTCATTTAGGATAATTTAAATTCATGTGCCTTGATTAACCCAATTAATCAAGGACAACTAAGTTGATTGTTCGAGAAATTCTAGCACAATAGTGTTGTAAAGTGTAGTAATGGACAGATTTCTTATATTGAGTGAGGTGTCCGAGGTAGGCGATTGGACATCGAATTGTCCGTCGTGATCTTAGAGAAACTGTTCTTTCCGGTATAACGGGAATCTCGAAAGTAGCCGTGCTTCAAATCTTCTCCTTCCCGCAACGGAATCGGTAGGAAATGGACGTTGGCGCGGGAGGCAAAGAACGAAGGGATAGATCGGTAGTCTTAATCTCGTCGGTTGGTGGTTGGTGGTTGACGTGACATGCATAAGGTTCTGGTGATCCCGAGATATCGAGTATAGATGGTCATTGAGTTTGAATGCGTTTTTTGATATGGTGAGATGCCAGAGTCGCCATTTTGCGGGGAAGTAGCATTGGCGAGAGTGCTGAAAGGGTGATGATAGATGGGTCTTTGCAGAGAAAATATCGGCATCGTGGTTCACGATAGAACTACTGAGAGCCTTCGGTGCCCGCCCACGGTGGATGAAAGTTGAGGAACTGTAAATGTGTGGGAAGAATACTGGGGCGCCATGCAGAAGAAGGGTTGGTAAGGGGCGATCAGCCTCCAAAGCTCCGCTCCCGTGCAAGTGGCGGCGTTGAAGCTCCGCCGTCTTGGCAATCCCGTCGTGGGCTTTCCGGCATCATCATCTCCAACGTGTCAACACCAACACCAACATCGCTTTTGCCTCCAGAAATCGCCATTCCACCACCGCATTCCAGACTTAGATCCAGATCCGAGTTTCCACAAGCTATGGGTACATAGCCACACAGAGATAGCCAGGATATCCGAGACTGAGGTCCAACTGGAAATATCTAGCGCCCTCGTGGTGATATTTGCTCCAGGTCCAACATGGGACGGCTCGCTTGGTATGCTGGGGTAAGCTCTTCTATCCCACCACAATTCTCAAGCAACAAAGAAATCCGCTGGGCCAAACTAACCATGGATATCATCAGGTGTCGACTGCCCTAGCCGCAGGCGTAGTAGTGTCTGCATTCAACCAGAGAGCGAACTTCTATTCTGCATGTGTCTATCTAGCGCAGAGTAACTTGTGCTTAATGGTAAGCTTGCGCTGGCGCCGGCAACATCAGCACCGCTGATTCTTCTAGATTCTCATCAACCTGATTCTCTTCATATACGGCAGCTTTATGTATGGCTTGCAGCGCATATGTTTCGGCGCTCTGCGACCCATTGAAATCGAACAGTTATACGAGAAAGCCTGGTTCGCGATCACGGAAACATGCCTGGCCATGACCATATTCAGAGAGGAGGTGGGCGCCTGGTTCTTGGTCATGTTTGTTGGACTTTTGACTGGAAAAGTGTGGGGGTGGATTGGTGATGGACGGGTCGAGGTTCTCGAACAACAGCCACCTGCGAATCCCCGGTTGTTCCATATTCGATTGAGCATCTCTCTGACCATGTCGGTCCTATATGATCTTTGGTTGATGAACTATACCATCAACACCGTCATTCAGCAAGCTCGACCAAACATGATGGTTATGTTTCTTTTCGAGTTTGCCATATTAACTACATGCTCCTTCGCAACTGGTTTCCGCTATTGTATCTCATTGATTGAGGCCAGCAAGATCAAGAAGCAGTCCCAGGAGAGATTAATTGAACGCCGGAGAGAAGTCAGGGAACAACGGGCAGAAATCATCAGACAGAGAGAGTTGGCCGCTGCGGCTGGTACTGAAGGAAGCGATGCGGCTCAGTCAAATACTCCACTTCCTTCAGAAGACGACGTGGATGAGATGGATATCGAAGTTCCCGGATGGGAGGCAAAGGGTCACTGGGTTTTGACTCTCGACCTCATATCAGGTCAGTACGAAATACCCATGAACATTGTTATGACTAACAGTTTTTGAGATTTCATCAAGCTTGGAATATATGTCACCTTCTTCGTGATTCTTTTCATGTTCTACGGTCTTCCAATTCACATCATCCGGGATCTATTCCTGACAGCTCGTTCATTTAGCAAAAGGTTGGCTGCGTTTATCCGTTACAGGCGTGCAACACAAGATATGAATACTAAATACGAGGATGCTACCGTTGAGGACATCGAACGAGAAGATACTTGCATCATATGCCGCGAGGAAATGAGGCCTTGGTCTGTCACAAATCCTCAAGATCCGCCTGCTGCTCCTGGTGCACCACCCCGCACGTCCAGCAGCTCCAATGAACGGACAAGGCCCAAGAAACTCCCTTGTGGTCATATCCTTCATCTTGGATGTCTCAAAAGTTGGCTTGAACGTCAGCAAGTTTGTCCTACATGTCGAGCATCTGTTGTTGAAACTCCACTAGCGCGAGCAGCAGGCAACAACGCAAATGCGAATGCTCCAGGTGGTCAACCGCCAGGCCCAGGGCAGCAAGATGGGCCTGGTGCCGCTCCTCAACCTGCAGCCGCTCCTCGCCCCGCTGGGCGCGGAATGAGAATGTTGAATCTTGGCCCCATTCGAGTCGGATTTGGGCAAGCAAATTTACAAGATCTCCAGCAAGGTCTTGGTGGTCAGCCAGCAAATCAACAAAATAATGCTGTGGCTGGTGGCCCAAGAGTTTATGGGCTGGAATTTGGCTTTCCCAGACGTCAGCCTCAGCCCCAGCCACAGGCTCAGGGAACAACGAACATAGCGGGAAGCACGCAAGAGCAGCTCCAGCAACTAGAACAGCAAATCGTGGCAGAAATTCGTAGTCTCCAGTTGACTCAGCAAGAACTTCAATTAGTACAGTTACTGCAGGTAGAACTTGCCAGACTTCGACTTTTGCACAATGGTGGAGCGGACCCTCTCGCGACCAACCTCCAAATGCCTCAAATGGGAGCGTTAAGTGGTAGACAGCCGCCGTTGTCAGTCACTCAAGTGCCACAAATGCAGAGACACGGGGCTCGTCCAAATACAGCAGCAATCCCATCAGGTAGCGGTGATCTTCCGCCTGGAGTTACGATTCCAGAAGGTTGGTCACTTTTACCGCTACAGAGATTGGATGGACAAGCACAAACAGGAACTACTCTACATGTTCCTTTAGCCGGACCTGCAGCAAGCTCAGGATCGGCCCCCACCGCCACCACCACTCAACCTGAGACCATCAGCCCTATGGGCAGAACGTCTAATAATAATCTGACACCAACACCAACTGTAAACCCCGATGTCCAGTCACAAGCATCGTCAGTTCATTCGTCCGACACAAACGTCGTTCCTACTCCGCCGTCAGTTGGTGCCGACCAATTGACTGCATCCAACGTGACCTCAAATACCACGCTACCCAGTACCACCTTGCATGGTATTCCCGCATTGAACTCATCAAGCGATGGATCTCACAATCCTTCCGCTTTGCCAAACTGGGGATCATCTCAACTATTTTCAGGGCCAACTTTGACGGCGGGTAATACGAACGCCTTCCCCTCTTCTTCGACAATGCCACCGCCCCCAAATACCGGGGACGCCCTTCCTCAGGGGAGCCATGTGGAGAGAGCAATGGCAGTACCTGTATCCCACGCGGCTTCTGCCGCAACTGCGGAAGATGGTGATAATTCTGCCTCGTCTGAAATGGTAGACTCGACACCAGACGAGCCTGGTGAACAGAAAGGCAAGGGAAGAGCCCCATTTGTGGAAGATGTGGAAGATGAAGCTGAGGGATCGTGAAGTGAACACGGTGATCATTACTTGTAAACTTTGTGCTGGGCATTCGTGGCGTTCATGGGCGTTGGAACTCTAGGGTAAGGGGCAATGAAGGCAACCCTTTTAGTCATTACGGCGTTTATTCGTATAAACTTCTAGCAATTAAGTTTTTGAAAACCGAAATAGAATAGTCTTTTTTGGAATAAGTAAGCGAAGTGCTTTTCTTAAAATGGAGGGGGCCCCCCTTTTCCGGAGTGGGAGAGGCGAGAAGTTTCAGGATTATGCAGATCGCACGCACGCGCTATTTGTGACCCTGGGTTGCAGTAATGCAGGTTCTCTTCTCCCACTCCCCAAGCAAGAATGTTCCTTTCCGTGAGTGCAGGGATCCTTGTACATACCATATCGTGTGAAAACTGGTTGATAGGTTCTCAGTTGTTGGTGGGGAGTTTTCTCGAATCTGTTCTTCCCGTGGCGTCGCTTAACTTGTGTGGTAAATACGCGGTAAATTGCACTCAGGGGTTGCATTATCGTGGGTGGCGGGTTGGACTAGCTATGTATTAAATTGGTGTTATCTATCTTATTTGTTGACCAACGACTTTATTGTTTTTGTTGTTCCTTTGATCCCGAGTACCGTTTTCATATGCGTGGCTAGGGGGTGGGGTCTGGTAGGGCTGATGGCTTAGCAGGAACATTGCAAGATAAGGGAGGAGAAGCGGGTATTTTGGGATATCGGTGACGGAGTCGGATTTTAGGTTTTGGGATTACTGTACGATTCCTGCTTGAGTGAGGAGTGTAAGTTCCTCGACGGGTCTAAGTGGTTTGTGGAACGAGGAAGGTGAGAATTTGAAGATGGTGACATGGTAGGAGATAGGTGTCAGCTGCGTTGCTAGCTTCCTGTTTCGGGGTTTCGGCTGTTGGTGGTGAGGCACAGAGGGTCTTGATTTTCGGTCGATGTTTGATGCCGAGTTTTCCGTGGAGATTGTGAGCGGTTATGGTGGTTGATGGGCATGATTTTCTTGGTTGGGCTGTGCGGTAAGTGTTCCGAGATGTCGTGAGTGGGAAGTGTTGGAGATGTTGTCATCTTCTACACCGGCGGAGGTGGGGTAGAATAGAACTTGATATTTCGTATGAGAGGCGGGCATTACTCTGTACACACTGGAGTTATAAGAATATTATTCTAAAGACCTCATACAACGAAATCAATTATACGAATAGTAGAATAATTGCTACTTTTCAATTCTTATTGTGCTAGGTGAAATAGGACAATTGAGTTACTTGTGCCAGAGTTTTGACATAATAAATAAGTGCCTCCACCTATCTCGCTCTCTCCCTCTCACCCTCGCTCCTCACCCCCTCCAAAAAACAAAGGCCCAGCAAAACCAACCTCCCCAAAAAAATTGTAAAAAATCCTCACCCTCAAAGAAGGCGGCCTCGGACAGTAAACCAGACGAACTGAGTTTTTTGCGGTTTGACTAGTCAATCTTCAAGTAAAGCTCTCACTACTGATTCCATTAAGCTACGCAGGCATGTACCGGATGACTTGGTGTGAGGGGTGTTACTTAAGGTTATGACTGCGAGAGGGGGTGGACGTAGTGAATGTGTTTTAGGTAGAAGGTCTGGAGCTTTTGCAGGATGAGCCGCGTGTCATTGTAGATGGAGCGGCCGATGGAGAGGATGGGGATGCGGCGGTAGGATGTCCAGATTGCGGTGACGTCGGGACGGGGCATGGTTGGTGGTTGGTGCTGGTGTTTGGAATTAGCTTGTTTGATTCTTTTTCATCGGGTTTTGAGGGGGGACTTTTGATAGCGTGTACAGAGCAATGCTCGCCTCTCTTACCTGCATTTACTCTTTATGTGGCATTTGGGATACGTTATTCTTGGGTCGTTATTGCTAGGGTTGGCTTTTTGTTGGCTTCTGATGTAGTTTTGGTGAAATATTCCATTGCTCACTAACTGAGGAGGGGAAAGGACCTAATTGCTTCACTCGTGTCTTACGAGTACTAGGTGAACCGACACCTAGTGAAAGAATCTCTTAAGTAGACCCAAAATGTGCATATCTTCTACTTTTTTCTGAAATCCACCATTGGTATATGAGGGAAGAATCATGTCCATGCCTAATTTGTTGTCGGAAGTTGCACAACTGGTCTGGGTGATTGCACTTCTCAAATCGGGAGAGCCACCTGTCGAACAATCTTCATTTAGCAGGGTCAGCAAGGAGACGGAATGAGTGTTTTCAAGAAAACTAGAAATCTGATGTTGATGAACCGTCGAAGGTATGGTAGAGTTTATTGCGCAGCTGAGCAAAGATGGAAGATGTCGAATTTGAACGGTGAGGAGTGGTAACAAGATTATTAAGGATCTTGATGAGAAGGGATTATCAGCTTTGTGACGGATGGTAACGACAGTTCAACCCCTATTTCAACCTTAGTCTCAGATTGAAGCACACAGCTGGTTATCGGGGACTATGGGGAGAAATTAGTTTTCTCCATGGTTCATGATCATAATTCATTACAAGCCATGATCCAACATGAACTTTACTAATAGCAAAGTTATATTGTATACCTAAACAGCTACTATAAACTAAAATTAGGGGCACTATCGAGGTTATCCTACTTGTGAACCTTGTTATTCATTCGGTAATCGGCCACTTCTCCAGTTATTGGAAAGGTAAATTTGGATTAGAGCGTGTTTTTGCATTGAAAGCTGGTATATCTCGCTACTGTATTAGAACCCTCCGTCGGATCGGATTGGCGGTAGCGGCTCTGGAATCGAATGGAATTCCAGTTGCCGAACGTTGTGAAGCAAGCCTGCGGAACCGTGGAGATGTTACTTTGGAAACTTATTATAAGCGAAAGATATTACAGTATTAAATGTCTTCAACAGGACAGTAGAAATTAGGAGATAGCCAAGTAAAGAGAAGCCAGTTTCTTATGGGTGAATAGAACCTTGGTAGGTATCAAGCGATAAATGGGTTCAAGCGTAAAACTACTCAAAGCTGTTCTGTATTCCCATTGAATAGTCAGAGACTTGAGAATGCAGGATTGCGGGATTGCGGGATTGCGGGATTTCAAAGTATCTGAAAGTCCAAATAACAGCAGAATTGGGGGGGAGGAGAGCTAGTCGATATGACCAATACAAGCCAAGGAGCGAGCAAAAACTGCCGCGGTCGACATCTATCCTTGAGCGCTAACATTCATCAGCAGACAGGGTTACATTGTATCATGTGATGCCCATCTCCGAGTTTCTTCTGGATTGTTTCAATGGCTAAAGCTGAATATCGACATTACCTGAATGAAAGGATCTCTTTTCGCCTCGCTTAGTTACAACAACATCAGTCGAGGGTTTATCTACTTGATATTGTCTCGCAGAATATATGTAGCTCATCTCGTCTTCCGCCAGCCTCTAAGTCTCGGATCACAAGTCTTTTATCTTTGAGGTGTCGTTTTGACTCTAATCATAGGTTAGGTGCCTTCCTCGCCGCTGATCTCCACACCTTCCCACTTTCCATCCATTAATTATAATAGCCGCAAGATGTTCCGGCTCTGAATAAACGCCTAATCTTTTAAAACACTGAGTTTTCATCATGCTTCGGAATTGACTAATTTTTCCTGATCTGTAAGAGACCTGTCTAATACTCTAGACACGCTTTAAGGATCTTCTGTTCTAGAATTCCTCATACAATTAACATATTTGTTCCGAAAGACTTAGGCCAATAAAGATATACTAATTTTGATTATCCTCAATGGCTCGTACAACTACTTTAATTGTGTGAGGCTTTTAGAATAATGTTATTTCTACTCTAGGTATGTTCTATATAATGACAGCATCTCTTACGTGCTATTACAACCAGGATTCATAATGTAACTCGCATTCATTCAAAGCTATCTTCGTAGCGACGATAAGCCTATTTTTAGCGATAGGTTGATCGAAATTAAACAATTGAAAGAAGCCTACTAGTCTTTAGAACTATTTTGTTTGGGTACTCTACTTCTGACCATTCGGAAACCTTCGCTTTTATTAGATTCCATTGAGCACCTAGCCGCGGGCAGTGGTTTCTCTAAGTGCTCTAATTAGGGATAATATGAGAGCGCCAAAGCTTTCCTAGAGATTTTACCAGCTTTTGAAAAGGATATGACTTACCGAAGACTTCCAATATTGTAAGCTTGAAAATGTAGGTAGTACTCGTGGATACCTAGCACGTGTAGCACAGAGGAATTCCCCTCTCTCTACCATCTTAAAGTATCTCGAAATAATTAGACAGTATTTTCCCAATAATCCAGGGTATTATACATCTTTAGAAACGTGACTATGCCATCATTCCCGCAAAACTTCATGAGGGCAAGTTACTTTATAGAATCTATGGGGGTGATCGTCTTTGATATTATACCATTCCTAACCGACTGACTACAGAATTAACGCGCTATCCAAGATCAGGCACAGCTGATACCAAAACATACACGTTATCCTGAAAATTCGAATGGGCGAATTCGGACTTTTCTCAACTTTTTTATTGTTTCAACAAACAAATAAAATAGTAATACTGAAGGTCAAAGTTTGGTGTGAAGTTTAGCGAGGTGATTACGCCACCTCTTGGAGAACTGGGGACTGGAATGAATGGTGGCGATGCTAATGTTTGGTTATCAGACTACCAGGATTTATGTCAAGGGATGTTCCGAAGCGTAGCGAGCCCCTAATTGGCTTATGTTCGGCAAAAGAAAATAAGAAGGAACCAAGCGAACTACAGTTAGGAAGGTAGCAAGATTAGTCCTCCCCCCTTAATTGAAAATAACAACTGATGGTGAAAATGTTACGTGGAGTACGTTAACAATCCGCCTCCATATTTCTCGGATACATTAATTAATCCATGACCTCTTCTAAATTCCCCTGTCCGTCTGGAAAACCAATCAAGTCACTAGACGGGCGATCAATTTGCATGTCGAAATTTTCGACTTGCCAAAAACAAAAAGAAAAAAGCAAATCAGTCGTAACGACTCGGTATTTGGTTGATAGATAGTTCGACTTGGCCGTCTTAAGGTTAAGATTGGTCCTCTGCGAAGTAGAAGGCAATTAGACTGCCATTTTGTTATTTGCTTGAGTACATCTCTAATTATGGGTACAGCGTTGTGATCGAGCATTTTGCGAGGGAAAGTAGAATATCACAGGTGGAAAATTCAGCCCAGTCGAAATGAAACAACAATCCGGAAGCGGTAAAATCCTTTGGTGCATTCAAATACCCTGAGTGGCCAGCTGGGGGACCACGCAATTTACAGAAAAGTGATACCTGGGAGTAGTCATGGAGTCCTGCATAAATCATGTGAAGGGCGCTGGTGAACGCAGATCCGGCCGTTTCTCCGAATCCTTGCGCAGATTAAGATTCCATCGTGGAGTTGCCGGGTCTATGGAGATCTCTTAGCATAATTATTAGAGATCCTTAACGGCACGTAATTCATTGGTTTTGAAGGACGAACACCTGCAGGTATTGAGGAGGACAACAGGATGGTTCCGGGGGTCTTATCCGTATACTTCTTGCTGGCTCGGTTCCTTTAGAACCTCAAGCGGGTATTTATCCGATCGAGTTCGAGATAAGGGGACGGATAACCTTGAATTAAAATCAGGTACATCCTGCGGGTGAACGTTACTGGATATCTAAGTGGTCAGAATTACGAGGGGTGGATACACTTCCTACCTATGGGTCAAACGTCGTTTAGATTGCACCCAGCTGCCTCAAGTATGGAAATATTCATGGAATTCTAAGTCAAACAAAGGTAGATGAAAATAATTTGTTGTCATTTTTCTTCAAGTCATCTGATGCTGAGGAGATGATTTACCTCGGTCTTTCCTCCTCTGCAACCCCGCTGCCCCAAATATCACATTTATATTCTCTATCCAACCAGAGCTCCCCCACGCGCTCATAGTGACAACTACCCCTGGCAGCCATAGCTCGTGCATACACAGGAGATTATACTAGAAAGAGTTCTAGAACCTCGAGACTACCGATTACCAGTAGGGATGATGACTCCTGTCGATCTCCCAGCAAGTGTGCATGACAGATGCGAATTGATACCCAAAGAAGTAATCATCATGCTGGCACAACCTGTACCATATCATCCACTCTCTACTCAGCCTTCTGACCGTCATTTGTTCCATCAACCTATGGGAGTCCATACAATACGCGCACGATGGACATCAGAAAACAGTAGCTTATGTTTTGTCCCAACTGGAGTGGCGCATGATGATCTTGTCAACATGCTCTTGTCGTTTTCTGAAGCCTCTCTTTCCAAATTGAGGATATTACCCGATGCTTATACCACGAACAACCGTCTTGGCCACCTTCCTTTCAATATGACCTGTGGCAGCCATTGCTGTAACCTTGAAATAACTGCAAGAGTATAGTTCTTCCGTCGATTTCTTGAGAACAAGAAGAGCTGCCAGCAATGATTTCTAGGGGTACATCACCAAAGCTCTTGAGCTCTACTGGGCTGTTTTCCGTCATTTGATACCCTCTTTCTCTACGTGACGTGCAAGTATACCACGTTACTGCCTTGGCCTTTGCGCGTGCTGTTGGCTTGTTAGAGAAATTTGGTATTCCTTCCATAAAATAAGCACAGCATGCTACTCAGTAGGAGTGTATTGACAAAGGAAGATTCCTTCCTCGGAGCAAAGTGACCGAAATGGCACCGGGAATACTACTCCTCTTTCTTTTTCCTAGCATATTTGATCTCGTTGCATTTTGAAGGCATGCAAGAATATAAAATGGCACTGGTCCCATCTTTCAATTTCTATTTTCAAAGCACTTTCACTCCTTCAATCCTTCTGGTAGCTTTTCCAAGTACTTTCCCTCTTGAAATATCCTTATCCAAATTCTCGCTTATATTAATATATTCTGATCCTCATACCGAGTCCCAAAATGGCTTTCAAACGTTCTTTTATTGGCGCCGGCCTCTTGGTTTCTCTGAACGCTGTGAACGCTGCCGCAGTTCACGCACTGGCAGCAAACCTTACAATTCCACACCAATTGGCGGTCGCTGCTTATCGCCAGGTTGATACTTTCAACTCAGGCAATTTCTTCGACAATTTCGACTTCTTCACCGGTGCAGATCCCACTCATGGATTTGTTCAGTACAAAAACCGAGGTGATGCTCAGAATTTGGGCCTGATCAACAACGCAAACAACCAACTCTATATGGGTGTCGACCATACCACTGTGAACCCGAATGGCGGACGCCCTTCGGTTCGAGTAACCAGCAAAAAGTCCTACACCCATGGTCTCTTCATCGCGGATATTGCTCACAGTAAGTGATCCTCAAGCTTTTTTCTCTTTGATCTTGTCGTGAGGAGGCAGGAACTATGAGTTTTCCGGAAAAGAACCCTTTTCTGTTGCATTCGCCCTCACATATCAAGCGATTACTAGAAATGATGACAACGCTAACTCTTGATGTTTTATAGTGCCAGGAAGTGCATGTGGAGTTTGGCCAGCGTTTTGGCTTGTGAATTCTAATTGGCCTTTTAATGGGGAGATAGTAAGTAGAGCGTTTCTTTTATGGGGTCCTGGATCTCCGCGATGAGAGACTTGCTGCCGTAGCGGATAGATCTCCAGTGCTGATATTTTATAGGATATTATTGAAGGCGTGAATCTTGCCGGATCAGACACTGTTACTCTCCATACATCTGCCGGATGCACAATGAACACCGCTGGCTCTCAAGGTGGAACCGTTTTGCAAAACCCAAACTGCAACGCCAATAATGGGTATGATGGCTGTAGCGCAACAACAAATGCTCCGTTCGGCGACAATTTCAACAACCAAGGAGGTGGAGTCTACGCCATGCAATGGGAGTCGTCCGGAATCTATGTTTGGTTCTTTCCTCGAAACAATATCCCAGCAGACATTCGGTCTGGAAACCCTGTGACAGGCAACTGGGGACTGCCGATTGTGGCTTTCAATGGAGGTTCTGGGTGTAACGTTGACCAACATTTTGTAAACCACCAAATTGTTTTTGATACAACTTTCTGCGGAGATTGGGCCGGAGGTGTCTGGGGTTCATCAACCTGTTCATCCAGAGGGAGTTGTGAAAGCTATGTTGCGGGTAATCCAGGGGCTTTCAGCAATGCTTATTGGACTGTCAATTCGGTCAAGGTCTACCAGTTGTAAGAGAATGAGGAGTTTGATGGCGATGCTTCATTCTGATTTGATGCGAAGGAGGAGTTGAGGTCGGAGACTAGAGACTAGAGACTAGAGATTGGAGTTTTGCCACGCGGTTAAAGGCTTGGCAGAAGCAGATTCACTCTGATCCTCGCTTAGCATACCAATCACTCGCGTTCAAAATTTACCTACAACATAAAGACTTTCCTAAAAGGTGTAAAGACTACTACAAACCCAACCAAAAAGGCTGCAAAAAAATCCTAACGCCTTTTGACGTCGCCAGGGAGCGTAAACCAGACGTACTGAGTTTTTCTATTGGGCTATCATTCCTGCGCTCTTCCGCTTTTAGCTAACGGGCACCATATTTCAGTGTGTATGGCCGTTGCCTCAATATTACCACTGAGCCAGATAGACGATATTCCGTAGAAGCGTACGAATGATTGACGGTTGGTTGTTTATTTGGGGATTTGAAGGATATCGGTGTGTACTTGCAATTGTCTTCGCTTGGTTGGCCATGTTGTAAGGTAGCATCGCTTTGCTATTAAAGTTTTCATTTCAGTTATGTACTTGTTAACCTATCTTCAAAACTCCTCTAAGCTCTGAAATAATGAAATGTTCGATTGAGCACTTGCCGATAATCAAGGCAGTCAACCTAGAGTTCTAATACGGAAGAAAGACACCGTTCGTCGTCGTTGGTAATTCATCATCCATCTCTACACATTTGGAGGGCGACGATACCTCTACTGCCAGAATACAGTTCAGATAATTCTGTTCTGCTAATATCAAAAGTATTTGTACTCCATCCATGAGCTCAAGCCAATCAATTTGTTTATCCTGTGGTCAATCATGCCGTATCTTTCTCTCATCTGTATCTCGAAATAGCAGTGTTAGGAAAATACAGGACCATTATGCCCTTATCGTTTGACATAATCAAAGACAATAACATGAAATGTTTACTAGGAAGATTCTCAAGCCAAGCTTGAGATTCCACCGTAGCATGGGAACTTATCATGAACATCCTCTTCCTTAAATCCAACACACTTCCAGCACCCCAATAAACTTTCTGGGTCGTATCGTTTCTTTATCCCAAGTAACCTCCAATAATTATCCTTCCCCCACCACTTCCCAGTCCAATTCTCGGTCCAAGGAGAATCCTCATTGAAATAACTTCCAACCACACCTCCAAATTCAACAATCATATCCTCAATATCTTTGATCAGCGAAGCTTGTTTCGCTAAGATAGCTGTTTGCTGAAGAAGAGTCGCGTTCCACCCTATATCGACGCCGAAACTCAACATCCATACCGCGTCTCTCCAAGCTATGGTTGACGAGGTAGAATTCTGGGGGTATGGGTATAAGAAAGGTGTATCGGTAGGAATGTAGGGTGAAAGTCCTAGTTTCAGGGCCTTCTGCAGTAATTCAAAGAGCGCGGTACGACCTTCCTGGGATGAGAAAAGGATGGATGGGATTAGCCGGCTGGCCAATATTCGTGGGGTTCCGACGGCTGCTTGGTTCGGAGTGAGGTATTTGGTATAAAATGCTTGCCATGATGGTAATGACTCAACGGTGAAAGTGCCGTTGTTCGCGAGAGCGAAATCCGTCGCAGCTTTCATCGAAGCTTTCGCTTCTTCCAGAGAAAGAAGTGGTGTAACACTGACTAGATTGTTTGAACGGAAATGGCCTCCCCAACCTTGCCTAGCCCATGGTAATGAGTTATTGACCAACAACTCGAACCAACTATTCACATTCCCTCCTGTTTGTTGATATCTCACTTCCGAGACTATCAAGCTCATGGCCTTCTCAACACGATGTGTACTTTCCAGCACCACGCCAAACGTCCCACCTCCGCCGCCTCTCAACGCCCAGAACAAATCCTCGTTTTGACAAGCATTTGCAACTCTTTCGACACCATCCGGGGTAATAACTTTAAACTGAAGAACCCTATCAATGCCAATTCCATAGACAGTCGAGAGTACAGTATGGCCACCCCCTTGAACCCATCCTCCGGAGACGCCTATGCTTGTACCATAAGGACCGATGAAAGTAACATTCTGAGAATCCGCAAAATTGTAGACTTCATCAGTATTCACACCAGCAGCTGTAGTGATCGTATTAAGTGGCTCAAGAATAGAAGCGGAACAACCTTCGGGTATAAAAGCAGAATCGCGGGAGAGATGTCGAAGATTGCGTGTCCATAGTGCCAATGAATCCTTGAGACTGCTTCGCCCAAGATAGTCATGTCCACTGTTCTTGATGGATAACTTGATACCGGTATCTCGAGAGAACTTGAATGCGGCCAAAATATCGGAAGGGGACTGAACGTCAATATAATATTCTGAGACACTTCCTTGATTGCAGCTTCGATTTGTGAACGAAGAGGGATTACTCGGCGAAACTGGATCTAGAAGACATTTATCCGTATTGTTGGCGAGACACATCTCATCTTGGTTATTCGAGAATCCGTTGTAGAACTCGGCGCGGTAAAGAGAATCCGTATAGCTTGCCTGAATCTCATTACAGAGCATCAAGTCAGGTGAGGATTCCGAGCCATCGTGTAAAGAAAAACAAGGAAGCGAGAATGGTTTTGCCGAATGAAAATTGCCATTGACTGAACGATTTAGAGTGGCCCATATATCAACATCTGCTGCTCCTACGTAATACGACATATGAAGTAACAGATTGAGGATGAAGTGATAAGAAGACATCTCTGGATTTTGAATTGAGGAGGATGGAAACCCTTGAAGATGACATTTTCACTCATTCTTAGATGTTGCACCTGCGTGGTGATCATTTGCTCAACTTTGATAATGGTATCAGCGCTAATTACTGAACACCCTCTCATACTGTACGACGCTGAGTAATGTAGGCGCACATATGCATGTGATGGATATTGACTAGTGCATGTAAGATTCAAGTTACATGAGACTAAACATGAGAAGAAAAGTGAGATTTTACTGATTATTAAGAATTCAGTAAGTCATTGAAGACCGATGGGTCGTGGACGAATGCTCAAAAAGTCAGCAAAGCAGACATCGCTCAAAAATTGGGTGGTCTAGCTGCAATCTGATCGATAGCAGGGCAGGAAAATATGGCCGAACGACATAGTGGATTCATAGAATGCAGATATTTGAGAAAAGTGCATATCGAACGCTGTTGAAGGCATTAAAGATTATCCGAAGTGTGCAAGGTAGCTATTCTGAAACGGCGAGGAAAGAAAGGAAGAATGGTCACTTCCAATCGGAACTGTCCGTGGAGTAGGCTCGCAATAGACATCAAGTGCCACAAATAATCTTTTGTAACAATAAACTATGGGTAATTCATCAACGTAAATGTATCAATTATCACAATGAAATACCCAAAATCATCAAATCTCCCCCGGAGTTCTTCCTTTATATTTCCTTCGCTTCTGATTATTACAAAACTCCGCAAAGCACGTGAACATCCCAAAACGACCGACCCACCAATTTCCAGCACACCCATGAAATATACCACGCGCTTATAACTCATTTACATTTCAAGCAGCTGTCACCCTTATCTACCTATACCCTATCTAATCTCCAAATAAACAAGAAAAGTAGCAGAGATCCCTTCTCTATGCGGGCAAGTTGATTTGAAATATCACATTTAATTATTCTACGATTTTCGATTAATAATTATAATTACCCTAAATAAGTAGAATAACAAAGCAGTTAAGGTTAAGTTATAATAATAGGAGAGGATTTTCTGTTACTTTCCTTGTTGACGGGGAGGTATTCTTTATCTAGAACGAGAATTCTTGGTACTCGTCGAATTGAAAGAATGTGTATACTATCTTATTAAAACGGTTTGCTAATACTATGTTAACTTCGATATATATTAAGCAATATAAGTTTACTATCTTGACAATAACAAACAAGTCTCCAAGTCCTTAATACTCCATAAACCTAACCTCAACCTCTCCCTTTCTAATCCATTTCCACTTCCATTCCACTTACAGTAGATCCCAGTCCTCAAAAAAACCGATGTCAAAATATACCTCGAGTAAATGTCATATCTACAACTTGACAAAAATACTTTTGCTAGTTCTTAGTGGTACATCAGAATCCCAAGAGCAGGAACGAGAGCCATTGATCCAAGGCAAAGAATGGCTGGGTGATAAGCTTAGATGGGCAGGAAGAAAGGGCTCATGGGGAGGAGAGGGGCGCTAGTGCTCCGACTGGGAAGGAGAGGGGTTCGGTAGGCTTGTTTTTGGGTGATTGAGGAGTTTATGAGAGACGTGATAGAAAATAGTATAGCGAATTCCAGGGTTTTCGAAGAGCTTCCTGTGATATAAACTATTGCCTGTCAAATACGATTTTTTGGGGGTAGATATTTACCATTCATTGTAAGTGAATTTGGTAAAAGATCTTTTTCCTTTGGCAAGCAATCCTGGGCAGGACAAAATTAAGCGAGAGTGACCGAGCGCAGACACTTCCCACATCTATCATTCTATAAGAGTTTAAGCGCCGTTATATACATCATCAAATCTACACGTCCCTTTGAAAAAGGTCTATCCAACAACAAACACACACCTCCATTATCCCAGTACCCAACCCTAAGAAGAATCATCCTCCAACGCAGCAAGAACCTCAAACTGATTATCCCTCCCCAACCCCAGCCTCCTCATATCAACACGCTCCCCATCCGCAGCCTCACTAGCATACCCACTATCCCTCCGTCTCCTCCCAAAGATCTCCGCAATCTTCCCCGCAATCCGCTCCGCCCCCTGTCTCGCACCATCCAGATTCGGCGCCGCAGGTCCCAGCCGTAAAGCCGCCAGTCTGCCCGTAAAGAAGAAGGGGATATCGTCATTCCACATCAATTCATTCGTACAACATGGAATACCGCCCACGGACTTGATTGGGGCACTCTCGAGTAAGGGTTTGAGAGCTGGGATTTGGGTGAAGTCGGTTGGGATACCGGTTGCGTAGACGATGTGGTGGACTTTTAGATCGGGGATTGGGGGAGAGGTTATGAGGGTCCACATTTGGGAATTGGCGTCCCAAGTGGCGTCGATGACTTCGGTGTATTTGTATAGATTGACTTTGCCGGCTTTGATTAGGTTTTCGAGGATCTTTTTGTATTCGGGGGTTATGGATCCGCCGTTTCGGGCTTCTTTTATCATTTCCCAGCGTTCTTCGTCGGTCTAAATAAAATCCTTTAATAAAAGCTCTTCTACTCAAAAAACTTGGAAACTTAAACTTACGTCTGCGGACCAGAAACTGGCGAGGTGGAAGTTTTTGTATTTCCCCACCCAGGAGAGATCCACTGTACAAATGTTGTTAGACTTTCGAGGTGTGAGAAGGTAGGTAGGGGATGACTTACTATCAAAATGCTTTATCTTCATCGGTCCTCGCATGATATGATGGACCTTCGTGACACCTCGCTTAATAGCCGCATCCGAAATCTGAGCACTCGTCAATCCCCCACCAACAACACCAACCGTGATCTCTTCGCCAGCCTTGATCTTGTCAAGTATCGGTACAGGGAGTACACAGTCTGGTAAAGCCGTTGGCTCAAAAGCATGAGATACGCCCTCATTCCGCTCATGACAGAACGAGCAACTTGGCGGTAAAACAGGCGGCGCCGAAGGCCCAGTAGCAAAAACCACCACTCTCGCTTTCTTAACCCCGGTAGAAGTTTCTACAGTAAAGATCCCCGGTTCCCCAGTCGAACCAGACTCGTAAGAGACAGACGTGACACGAGACTTCTCGACCACGTCCTCAAGCCCATAATGTCTCGCAACATCCCAACAATGCTCCTTGAAAAGCGCCTGACTAGGTCGAAACATATCTTTCCTATCGCGCTCATCAAGATAACTCGTCTCCTGAGATTTCGCCCTAGCACCCAAAACATTAGCTCCCCCTTCCCTCCACTTAGCGAAATACAGTAGTAAACAACTAACCCATTCTTCAAACTCTGCTTCCTTTGATGCTTACTCAAATCCTTCCCCACAACACCTTTAATCTCCCTCAACTCATTCTCCCTCTCCTCTCTATGCGCGAACCCAAGTAGTCCATCGCGATCCTTAGGGTCAATCTGGAAGAACATCGGGCTTCTCAAATGGCTTATGTTCAGACGTTCGAAGCGCTCATTCCAGGCCGCCATCCACTTATCACCACTCTCATCCAACACCTTGATATCGACTCCCTCGGGAACTTGCGGGCCAGAGAGGAGACGGTCGGGTGCGGTGTTGGAGCGTCGAGATGTGCGGATGGGTTTGGAATTCAGTTTTGAGGTGGAGGAGGCTTTCATCCAGTGGAATCTTTGGTGTTCAGATTCGGTAAAGAGGGCTCCGGGGGTGTTCTCGCGAATTCGAGCTGCGAGGGCTAGACCGCAGGGTCCGGCTCCTACTATCAGAACGTCGTGGATGTGTTGTTGGTTCGTTTCTTCCATTTTGAATGATACTTTTGGTGTGTTGGAATGTAGGTTAGGAATTGAAAGGGAGAGAAGTAAAGAAGAAAGTCAAAAGGAACAAGGTACTTGAACATCTGATCGTCTCATCGCAATTGTAACCTTGATGGCAATCTTTAACCATCCGGGTTATCAAAGTGTACCATCCGGGTTCTCATTATCCAAGGAGGCGGGTCATGTGACAGAGCTGGGCGCTCCACTTCTACAGACCGCCCAGTATTCTGGACGTCAAGCCACTTCTTCGAAACTGTAAATAGACAATTAGCAGGCTGTACTAATATTAATATTGGAAGAAAGTATGTTTGCGTGACTCTCACAAGCATATAAAAATTGTAGTACCCAATTAAAAACAAAATAAGCGATCCTGGAGGAAACCCCTCTTTCCTCATTGCTTGGATCGTTCTTAAACAACCATATACCACGTAGATGATACTTGAACAGGAAGAATCTTCTTAATATGTCGGCTCATTTTCGTAGGCTGCCTTGATTGTCCTAGGATTCCCGAGCAATAGAGCGCAGGGGTACTTCGAAGCATAGCCGGGCAGGGGCTTTTACAAATATTTGTACATTGAGTATTCTCTCAAGATTTTATTGTACATTTTGTAAAGCAGGTAGCCATTGAGTCATCACATTTGACAGGACACAGCACTCATGATTCATCTACCCAACCTATAGCCTGACCCATCTTAACTCTTCGTCCTTTCTCGACATTCCAATTCCAGCCTCCTTTGATTTTAGTCTTTTCGCCCATCCACCCTTCGTCAAGACTAGGTCTCTCTCCTTTGGGGGCTTCAAATACTAATACAACGGTGCTTCCAAGTTGGAAGCCACCCATTTCTTCTCCTCTACGGAGTGCATGACCGTGCAGGATTGGACTTGCTGCCTCGTATGTAGCTTCTGCGAATCCACTATACGGTTCACCACGCTTAGCTGCTTCTTCAGCTGCTCGATCAGCAGCAGTGTCTGTAGTCAAGGAATTGGTACGTAGTTCTCTATCAAAGTTGATTTTGATAGAACCAACATTTGTCGCACCAACGGGTGTGTACGAGAAGAAGCCCCATCTCCAACGCCCTAGAAGAACTACTCTTTCGTTGAGTGTAAAAAGGCCGGGTAAAGTTCGTTGAAGGTATGGTGAAACACTATATAGCTCACCCGCAAAGTGTCTTCGCTTCTCAGCAACCCATGCAGTTGGCGAATGGAAACGATGATAATCTCCTGGTGCCAAATAGACGACAACATAATAAAGTGCAGTACGGTTTTCCGGCTTGAGGGAATACCAAGGACGTTCATTCAGAGCGAGATCCGCACGAACTTCGGCCTCTGAATCTACCCTAGGTTTGGTGGATGCATCACTAGTCTTTTTGCCGCCTTGTTTTTGCGGTGGACCGGAAAATAGATTTGGCAATGTGTATGATATTCCATTCACCGTGGCAAATTCTTCGTCTTGCTTTATGACTTCTTGATCGCCTTCGCGATGGGTTGCGGTACTCTGTGCGGGTGGCCCCTCTTTTGGTACGAAAATATTTGAGGGACTTGACGAGTTAGGAGAAGTTTCCGGCTTATCAGTTCCTAGGAGAGCATCAAGGCTATATGTCATACCCTTGACCTGTTCAACCTCACCACTAACAATCTGACCGAATTGGAGGACTCGACCGTCAGAGGGAGATAGAAGAGCATTGGGATTAGGATCGAGGGGTCTTGAGCCTGGTTTGAGGGCTCGATAGAAAAATGAAGCAAGATTGGGGTATATGTGGAGATCTGGCTCCGAGACCTCAGAAAGACTAGGTTATGTTAATTGTCGTTGTAATTGCAGTATTGGGAGGTTTCATACTTGACGCCAAAAATAAATGAATATAACTTGAAACCCGGCACTCGTAGATAGTAGGGAATCTCGAGCTCATTAAATCTACCCCATAATCTTGAGATGGCTTTTAATGGCAGCGTTGACATCACTTGAACTTGCCTATCACTCAATCAGCTCAGAACTTCTTCCTAAGTATGTGTGGCTACCAACCAAGGTCCCGTGGGTCTTATTCTCTCTCGTCTCTTGGGTCTCCCCTCAACGCCCTCTCCGTTCCCGTTTCCAGCATAATTGTCTTTATCCCACGTTTCTTCTCGCAGACGGTCCTTTTCTCGTTCGTTTATTCTGTACAATTGGGCCAGGCCCAAGAATCCTATCCCCACGCCCACGGGAATTGGATACCACTTAATCTTTGTCTCGCCCAAAGCCCGTTTCAGCCGTGTCCCAAAAGATTCTCTATAGTTGGGACCCTTCTGGGAGTACTTGGGTGAGGTGTAGGAGAAGCCTCGAGTTTTGTGGGATCGTGCGATGTATTGCGCTTGGGAAAATTGGCCGGGGATTCGACGGAGGTCTTGCGTAATGATGCGCGGTCTCGCACACCGAGATAATTGTGGGATTGCCATTGCCATTGGGATTATATGGACTTTAGCGGGGAGGTTGTAAAGGATTTCCCAAAGACATGGAGAAAAGATGTCTGGATTTGAGAAGTGAGAATTATATGATACGAGTAGTGTAGCGCCTAGAACGATGACGCCGGTGGGTATATTATTCGGGATCGGGGCATCGTCGGCGCAGGAGCCGGTCAGTTTGGATGCAGGCCGAGGCAGGCTAGGCTTGGTTTGTAGGTAGTCGAGGTAGTGTGTGCTCGTATACTCGTATAGCGCAGCGCCTAGCTAGGAGTGGTGGACAGGACAGGTATGCAGAAGGGGCCTGAAGCTACTTGATACCTACGAGTACCTACAATCGGATGAGCCAGAATTATAGAGCACATCCATACTCGTACATCAGGACACTTTGACCACACAAGCCAACGAGTGGCGCCTACACGCACCTACAGCCATCACTCAACATCTCACCCATTCCATTCATTTACAATGACCAACTACCAATTTCTCTCTACTTGGTGAAATCCGTTGTCACATACAGCCGAAGCTCCGTGGTGGGTTAAGTCAACTCCACGGTGTAACTGCGACTGCGACCGCATTTTTGACTTCAAGTTTTGTCCGGCAAGCCGCACACCAAACATCATGTCTGATCCGACCACGAGTGCTGCTGCTGCTGCTGCTGCGGATGGAAATGCGGCCCCAACGAGAGACGAAGAGCAGCCGGAACCTCTTTCCTTTACGCTGACGATTGTATCTCCATCCGTTGGAGCCATCCGCCTCGAATTCCCTCACCTGCCAGCAACGACAACCGTCGAGCAGTTGAAAGCAAAGATTCGAGATGCCTTGCCGTCGAAGCCTGCAAATGAACTGCAGCGGCTCATCCATCGTGGCCGAATGCTTGCGAGGGAGTCGCAAACCATGTTGGAGATTTTTGGGCAAGATGTGGTAAGCCAAAACCAACCCCCGGATCATATAAATCCGTACGGACGTATAGTTCAAGACTAACTCATGTTCCAATAGCTGTGTCATCCCGAATCCCAAATTCTACACTTGGTTTTGCGCCCAGCGGAAGACAATCAAACACCTGCTGCCTTTCCGGCTCCAAGGCCCCAATCGATACCACCAGCACCAATACCTTCGGCCACTCCACCGCCAGTTTCAGCACCGCAGCTGCCTCTTGTCAATGGAGGAGTCTTTGGGTCCATGACAACTCGTCAGCTACCCCCTCCACAACCACGGCCGCAATCTACTCCTGCAGTCCCAGGTCATGGGATGCATGCCCAGCAGCCTCTTCCCGGATTCCAGCATGTTCAACAGCATCGTATTCTTCACGAAGCCGAGCAATACCACAATATGATTGCTCAGAGGCTCCAACAACTTCAGCGCGAAACACAACGCTTGCAACAGGAGATGGGTTCAATTGAGAGTCGGTACAGAGATCCAGCGAGAATGGGTCTGGGTAACCAGGGAGTGCAGCCTGGAATGGCAATACCCTTCTTCAATCCTGCTGCTGCCGACAATCCAGCCTTTCAAGGACCTGTTCTCGGAATGCGACCACCTCATGGTATGCCTCCTTCGGTACAAAACTTCATCAACCAACAGCAAAGAGGACGCGCAGCAGAAGGGTTAACTGGCGCTCAAAGTGGCAGCCGGACTCCTGGGGGAACAGTCCGAGCAAGCTCGTTGGGAAGAGCCAGTCCAAGTCGTCGTAGACCTGAACATACAACTACATATACTCGGGAAGGTGTCGGGCCTAACGGAGAAAGATGGCAGATGACTGTCAACGAAACCACTACGACACTTCCCATAGGTTCAGCTTCCGTACATCATCACCACCAAGCTCCACAATCATCTACAAATCCCGCTCTAGATATTCAAGCAGTCTTGAGAAATGCAGACAGACAACTAGCTTCTCAAAATGACATGCTCAGGAGCACGTCGAATCCAAATCCTTTGCGCTCTCCAGAATTGAATGGCGGTAATGCGACTAATTCTTCGCTTACTCCCAGCCCAGGGGTAACCGATAACGCCACAACCGCCAATAATACCCAGAATTCTGAATCAATGGTCTACATTCTTTCCTCGCCTCAAGGCCCTCGGGCACTGCTTGTCAGCAATTCTGAATCTTATTTTACCCCTCGTCAATCTTCTAGGCGTCGTAGGCATGACGCAGCCCAAGCGGCGGTAGGTCAGGGTGAGGCAGCAGCGCCAATTGGACTCCCAGAATACCGCAATAGACCAGCTGTAAGAGCCCGCAGAGGAAACAATGAAGGCGTTGCTCCAGTACAAGCAGCTCACGCGAATCCGGGAGCCGGCGCCCTAGCTGCACGAATCGGACAAATCCTTTGGTTGATTGTTCGCCTCGTTATGGTTGTATGGTTCTTGACTTCTGGAGATTCTAGTTGGACTCGTTGGTTTATGGTGACCGGCATGGCATTGGCAATTTTCATCATCAATACTGGCCTCTTCAATGGCGCTGGAGATCAATTGTGGGGTCCTATTCGAAGACACCTCGAGGCTTTACTTCCACTTGCTGATCCGGATGCTGCCATGGTTCCTGCTGCAAACGCCGTCATACCACAAGCTGAGGTAGCTCGGGAAAATAATCCAGCTGGCCAGCGAGGTGCAAACAATGAACCAAGCCCTGAGTCCGTGGCGGCTAGGTTGATTGAGCAACGTAGACGAGCCGATGTTAATTGGTTCATGATACAGGTTCGACGTGCAGAACATGCTTTACTTCTGTTTCTTGCAAGTTTGGTACCGGGTGTTGGGGAACGTCATATTGCAGCCAGAGAAGCAGAGGCAGCTGAGCGACAACGACGTATTGATGCCGCTGTTGCAGCTGCCGAAGAAGCTCATAGGCAAGCAGATGCTCCGCAAGAAACACCTACGGATAATGCACCAGCTGCTAACGATGGGGTTGCTCCTGGTCCAAACGAGCCTCCAGTTGAACCTGAACCGCTCATTCAAGTCTGATTTCATAGGATTGAGGTTTTTGATGAATTAGTGATTGGATATGTTACGATAGGATAGGATAAATCAAATAATACATTTTCAGGAAACAAAACAGTGATAGGAGACTAGATGGGGCTAGCTCAATTCCATGTGAATTTTGTATTTTTTTGGCATGCCTTTTTCTGCTAGCTTATGTGACGCTAGCAGATCCAATCCTATTTTCATCTACGTAACGTTGTAGTGAGGTATACGTAAACTTGTAATCAATCGTCCGAGATGAAACAACGCTTTTCACTGGTTATGAGTCCATACGTGATCCAACAGTTCCACAAGCTTCTTTACAATAACCTCCCGTAAGTCTTACAATACCCAGAAGTAAGTGGCTCGTAGGATTCTCTTACTCACTCACCTCTCAATGTCATTATTTCCATATTGGAGGGCTGAATCAGTATACACACTTTACACATCGCCATCTGTCTTGGGCTGGCTGTTATGGGATATTGGAGCATTAACATCCTACCTTCCTTCATTCATGTCTTCAAGCTACCTCTGCCTCGTTCTTGATTTAACATTTCTTTTTCTCTTTCTTTTTCGTTTTTTCTTACATAGGTTATACACCACGCTGTAGCCTTTACTGACACACCTCACGTATCGTTGATGGGGTTGTCATTTCTTGACTTACTGTAGGTCTGACTTTATGAATACTTCTGCAGATGCCTTGAATATAAATAGATGGGTTGGTTTCTTATCTTTTGAAAGGGATTTGGATGGAGTCGCAAGTGGCCTGGATTATAGATATTGCGATTCTTTGACTTGGAATAAGAAGTTCGGAGGATGGGATAGAATAGAATGATACGAAGCGAGTTTGTTTATTTTACATTCAGTTAGTAGATTTTAGAATCTTCCCGAATCTGGTTCAGTGTAGCTTAGTTTGGTGACTTAGCCTTCTATCATCTGCATTGATGGAATTTAAAGGTAGAAAACCTTGAGATGGTTCTCCTTCAATACTTTTGCAGGCTTCCCTGTGGGAACTCGGTGGCAGAGATTCTCGTATACGTACGAAAATTTTGTATGTAGGCCTAATTAGGTAGTTAAAAGTGGAGATCTAGGTACTATATAGTAGACGTCTCTACTTTTCGGGTTTTATAATTTATAATCTCTTACTAAGCGAAGATTAGTAATAAAGGATTAGTAATTAATCTACTTCTATTTATTACTTCTATAAATATAAAGTCCCCTTTTATTTCTCTCTAATTACTATACTTACGAAAGTTTAAATAAAGTAAGTATAATAAAGAACTTAAATACTAAAGAATCTATAATTTATATAAAGTCTCTAGAAATAAATAAAGTAATAATAGTCTTTATATCTAAACTAACTACTATTCTTTAAAAGAAAATAACTTTTTTCTTTTTATATTCTAACCTCTAACTATAAAATACTGCCTCTTAAGACTTTAAGGTTCTAGGTTAATTTAAATCTTACTAATAATATTAAAGATAATATCTATATTAATTACTATTATTATACTTAATAGCCCTTTATAGTAATATAAGCTAAAATCTAGATAGTATTAAGTATAAACTCTCTTAATAAATAGTACTATTCTTATCTTACTTTTATTTATGTAGTATTAAATAGTATACTTAACTATATATCTAAAAGAAAGTTCTTTATAATACTTCTATATAACTTAACTATTATCCTAATTATATCTCTACTATCTTTATAACTTTTTCGATCTTATAATATAGTTTTATTAAATATATTTTTTTTTAAATTATTCTTTTAATTTAATTAGAATTTTCTATATCTATATTTTATATTTAATAAGAGAATTATATAGTTTATTAAGTCTACTTTTAATATTCTAGAGCTTAATAAATAAGAGGTATTCTATAGTAGAGGTCATTTTACTAGAAGAAGTAGCTTAGGTTGAATAAATATATTCTAAAGTACTTAGAATTATATATGCTTTACTAAAGTAACGTTTATACTTAGTTGTAACGAATACTCAAACTGGCTAACTAAACTTGGCTGGGTGTTCGCTGGTTGGTATGCTATGATAAGAAGAAGACTATCGGGTTGTTCACTTGGAAGTGAACTCGTTACTTGTATCAAAGATGTCAAACTGATATGATAAGATTGATAACTAAGTTGAGCACGAAGCTCCTATCTAAAGGCAGAAGTGCCAGTCTTATATAGAACCTTCGTTCTCGTGGAGCCTACGGGGAGCCCAAGATCCTCAAGCTCCAACGCAAGCTCCTGCAAGCTCCAACGATCATGTGACCCTGTCACGTGATACTAACCGAATGAAATCCCTGGATCGCTTAGCTAGCCCAAGCGTCCCTATTTGCTATAAGAGTACTGATAGTGCTTGACCTTTCAGGACGCCGCCTGGTCTTCTCTTATCACGTGAACACGTGATTCGTGACATTAGTTTAAATTTAACCTTTTACTTTATATCTCTTATCTAAACCTTTATTATAAGAGATTAAAATATATAGTCTAGACTAATATCTTAAATATAGTTAGCTGATAGTATTAGTAATAATTTTCTTATTCCTAATAAAATACAATACTTAAGTAAAGTAATAAATATATATTTAATAATTAGTTTAATAGTTATGTAGGATTATTATTATAATATAAAGATTGATATATTTAAACTTATAAAATATAACTCTTTTTAATTTTAATAAGTTTAGCTTAAGTAATTATTTATAATATTACTATACTATAGATTTATATAAGTAGCTAAAAATATATATTATATATATTAAATTAGAGAATAGTAGCTAGTAGTATAGCTCTATTATAATAGAGAAAAGCCTTTTATTCTTTGGCTTTATATCTAGTATAGTAGTTATTAATAGGTCTAGGCCTTTTACTTTAACTAGTTAAAATAAGTAGATAAGAAATACATTATATTTTCTCTAGCTACATTTATTTAGCCTTCGGGATTATTCATAGATATTTAATAATAGTAGGATCGCCTTCTAATCTAGATTCTTTAGAAATACCTCTTTTATTTTTTACTAATTTATTTTCATTTATATATTTTTACTTTAGAGTAAGAGTTCTTTAATAATAAAAGTAAAATAAAGAACTTTATTCTTTTTAGGATTTCTTTTATTTCCAAGGTTTAATTGTACTTTTTTAAATTATATAAAATTATAAAATAATATTCAAAAGAAATATATATATATATATAATTAATAAGAAAACTATCTATAAAGTATAGATTTTATAACTTTATAAGAATACTTCTTTTTTTTACTCCTAATTTCTTTTTAACTATAGATTTTAGAAGCTTTTTAAGAATATCTTATAGTTTAATATTCGGCTATATATTCCTTTAAAGGGAGTATTACTCTAATTATTCCTAGGCAAGACTATACCTAATATATCTATATAAGTAGGGCTATTAGTACTTACTAGTAGAACCTAAGCTTATAGTATAATATATAGAGCTAGCTATATAATATCTATATACTAACTATAAGTATAGGCTTCTCTTTATTTTTATTATTTCTTAGTAGAATAATCTTTATCTAACTATATATACTTAATACTTAGTATCTTATTATCTAATTAATATAATTCTTATATAAGAAGTTTAAAAAATAAGTCTAAGTATATATATTTTTGTAGTCTAGGAATTATATTTTTATAGTTCTCTTGAAGAAGTTAGTATTAATAATTATAAAAAAGATTAATCTAGTATAATACTCTCGTCTCGATATAGATTTTTACCTCGTTCCTCGGATCCCTAAAAGACACTCTAGGACTTTATGAGGCCAATAACGTGAAACTCTAACTACCTACTATATTAGGTAAAGCGTAGGACTACCTACTATATTAGGTACGATAAGTTAGCTATAGGAACACTAAAAGTCGCTCGTAGTAGATACGGCTCTTCTACCTATATAGCGCTACTTATATGTATCGGAACGATATATAATTCGAGGATAATATAGTACTTAATTATACGTACAAATCAGTCTTATTTATATATTATTCCGATATATATAAGTAGGGCTACGTAGTTACAAAGAGCTATATACGTATAGGTAAGGCTTAAGTACGTATACGGCTCTCGGTACCGGCTCCTCGTATAGCTAAGTATAGCTTAGTGGTAATATAAGGTAATACGAGTTCTAGACCTTACAAGGGCTATAAGAGTCTCCCTAGAGACTCTTATACTAAGATTGATAAAAGATTATATATAAGTAATCATATATATATAGCTTTTAGTTAGATAGTAAGAGGAATATAAAGGAATTATCTCCTTAGCTTTAGCTATTTATAGTATAAACTTAGATAATATTATATCTTATAATATTTTAGATTTTAATATATTTATTAATCTTAGTCTAGTCTAATAAAAGCTATATACTCGTATATATAGTAATTATACTAGCTTACGTCTAGGCTGGTCTTTCGGTTAAGTTATTAGATAGTTATATATATAGATAATAGTAGTAGTTAGGTATATTAATTAATAAGCGCTTTAATTTTTTTTTTAATAATAGTTTAATCTTTCATATACTTTCTAAAAGTACTAAAAGAGCTTTTTATTCTTTATTTAATATATTAGATTAATAATATTAGAGGGTTTACAAGTTATACTATTATAAAGGTCTACCTACTACTCTTTTACCTCTAGGGTAAGAGAGTAACTAGGATCTCTTCTTTAAATACCTCTTTTATATATTTCCTTTACTAACTTTTCTAAAAGAGAGAGTAACTTTATAACCTTCTTTTCTTCTCCTTTATTATTTTTATCTAATCTTTCTCTATTTCTAAAGTTAAAGGTTAAGTTATTATTAATTAGTTTAGGTAGTTTATTCTACTTCTAATATATATTATATATAGTACTATATAATCCTTTATAAAATCTAGCCTTATAAATTTACCAACTAAGAGAATAGATTTTAAGTTAAACTCTAGTTATATCTCGAATTCTTATAGCTTCTATACTAAGTTAATTATTATTTAAGGCGTTATATATATCTAACTCTATAGCTTATATATAATCCTATATATTACTTTATA